TACTTAGGTCATCAGTATATTGTTACAGTATTGTCTATCCTCAGCCAACAAGGGCCTACAGTTTGTGAGCAGAGGGAACAGTCACCAGCCTATCCACATTCCACTGGTACACCTGCTGCGCCGGGCACTGCTACAGCATAACTGGCACCAGGCAGCACACGTCATGGCAGCACTCTGCACCGAGTACAGGGATGTAGGACATGTCATCTGGCAGGTAAGGAGAAACACTCTGCACCGAGTACAGGGATATAGGACATGTCATCTGGCAGGTAAGGAGAAACACTCTGCACCGAGTACAGGGATGTAGGACATGTCATCTGGCAGGTAAGGAGAAACACTCTGCACCGAGTACAAGGATGTACATGTAGGATATGTCATATAGGTTACATGTAGGTCAAAGGTCCCAAAAAGGATCATTTCCGATCTTTAATTTCCCATTACATGTTTTTTTAATGCATGTCTGTTGCTTTATGGGAGCTGGAAGGGAAATGCATGGACAGCACCAAAAAGAAATTTACAATTATGAATTAAATTAGAGATTCACACAAACTAAAAAAAATTATTTCAAGTAGGTATGAAATCTTTGATTTCTAGTTGAAAAATGGATATGGGAGTGGAGTGACGTCGTGACTTCTGTGGTTATGGTTTATTTGTTGCCCATTTCAGGTTGGATCAGAAGTGTTGTACAACCACCCTGGGACAGAGTCTATTCACCTCCAGTCACATGCAGAGTAAGTTTACTTACCACAAAAATCTTTCATGTACATTTTAGAGCCTGAAATGCAACCTGCCCTGAGCATGTTGAGCCCTGAATTATAATATATCAAATTTTATGATTTGTTGATGTTGGTTACTACTTTACTCTATACCTACTGCAGTAATATGGAGAAAGTGGTGACGCTGAATCGTTTCCAAGTTCACCTGGAGTTCATCTTCCACCTGCTGAGTAAGGGACAATTAGAGGAGGCCTACGAAACAATCAAGGTGAGAAAATCTTATGATGTAGGTGTATGACATTTTCCAACAGGTGTTTTACAAGGTCTGTTTCCAAAGGTTAGGAAAGTGGCAAGGTGTAACTGTTCTTGTTGACTCTGAATCTGAAGGTTCGAAATCCCTGGTAGGCCCCACTGTTGTTTCCTTGGGAAAGACACTTTACACCTCTTTCTTCACTTGACTCAGGTGAAGATGAGTACCTAGCTTTGATTAAGGATATTGACCTCCCAGATGGGGCATAAAGCCAGAGGTTCTGTGTTTGAGGAGAGCCACAACTTGAGTATGTTATACATCCCACCGCACTGACTGTGAAAGGAGTAGGGGTCCTTTCTACATATAGTCTGAGTGGTTCAAACCTTACAGTCTACTCCTAGTCCTAGGCAGTTTGTACATGTACCGGTGTGTTATGATGAAAAGTTTAGATGAAATAAAGTTCAGGATAGCATTATAAATTATGGAAGATTATAATACAATGTAGAGGAAAGATGGAGCATGCCTACTCTGTATCTAGAAAAAATGGAGTGATAAGATGTAATTCATCTTCCTATTTTGGACAATCTAGCTTGCCTGTTCTTATATTCCAGTCAGGGCCTCTGAGGAAGAAAGGGGCAGTATATTTCACCAAGGCTACTCAGCCCATCTGGGTGCCTGTTGTTAAAGCCTACACAGGACTGATAGAGTATGGACTGTGGCTACAGGGGAGACATAAAGTCAGCCAGCTACAGGACGTTAGTGGCCTTACAGGAGGGTACGACACACGTAAGGAACCAAGAAATCAAATATCTCATACCTCCGTTAAATATCTAGAATTTACTTCTACATATAATTGGAAGCTAATTTGTAAGCTACATATTTCTTGAAATGTTGTGATATTTCCTGATATGACTGACTGATTTACAAACCCAGTATAACTTATAAGCCAAACTGTCCTTACAGAGGAGTCAGTGATGCTGGACTCTACCCTGACCACATGTGAGGAGACAGTCCAGAGGTATGCTGGCAAGGCAGAAGACAACTTTGAAGATGTCCTGAAGGAGCCTGGCGTCTGGGACATCTTCGTCGCAAAACAAGTAGAGGTAGGTTTAAGCTGTAGAATCATACTTTATCCAGAACCATGTCTAGGCATGGTTTTCAATAGTTTAATATGTATACAGTATATGTACCAAGAACAGTGCATGCATATCCAGAACAGTGCATATCCAGAACAGTGCATATCCAGAACAGTGCATCCAGAACTTCTTGGAGACTATCCAGAATCCTACCTAACCCTAACCCATTCAGGCAAAGAACTAGACAGGCGCAGTTCTGAGTACAATGTTGAAATGTTCCTAGTACATGTAGCACCATTTCTAATCCTACTACATTTTGTACGTCCCCTGTCTTCACTGATGCTACTACATGTATATGTATTTTAAAGAATACAAGGCAGTTTTTGTCTACCACTGGTCATACAAGTGTATGTCCCTCTAGTATCTGGGCCTGGTTTTATCATGGACCAGTGCAGGCTACATTGTAGGTGCAGGTAAATATGAAAAAATACAGGCACAACTCCAGTTTTACCTGCATATGCATGTGGTATTTCCAGCCCTTACTCTACATATTAAACCGATTTGTCAAGTATCCAAAGTTCTAGTTAAACATTTTCTACATGTAAATAGTAGAACAGTAGGATATCACTTTGACTTTCCAAACAGTGGCGCCATGTTGATTCTGATAATGTCAGGTTAGGGACCGACCACTTCATTCTAGATGTGTCCACATGTACAGACAAACAACAAGGAGTCAAAGTCTAAGATTAGAACAAGATTAAACACAGCAGATCACAAAATTCTCACTTAAATTTAAATCTTAATATAATATATAAACATCTTTGTACACTGTATTTGTAAAGCTAGGTGGGAATACAGTGGGTTTTCATGATACATTTACATAGAAAATTGTTAAGTATTCAAAGTCAAAGTTTTGATATCATGAAGACCAATAAAAATGCCTGAACACACAAGATGACCAAATGTAAAGATTTTGACTTGGCCAGAATAAAAACTCATCTAAATTATATTAGATTTATTAAGTATTGTAAACTCTCTGTAAATAAATTGTGTACATTTTGATATGTCCAATGTCTCTTTGATTTCAATATGCTCTTTTATTATTGACAATGTTTAATTTTAGCTAAGTTTGTTCTAAGGGGTCTGGGCTGAAAGCTTTGGGCAATTTATTCAAACCTGAATTCTTTTGTTTTGTAGACCAATTATCTCTGCTAAATACAACATCATGAAGCTTTAGACAACCAAGTATGTAAACTGATATTCTTACCAATTGGTTAAGTTTGATTGTCACCTCACACAGATTCAGAAGTTTTGAAATATGCTTACACTGTCATCTGAATAATCAGTTATTACCAGCTGTCCCTGTTTTGCCATGGCAACAGCCCATGGCTCCTTCAAGTCTGTATTGATGTGTAGATCTTGATGAGACCACAGTTACATGTATACTGGCTATACAGATTAGTGCTGCGTACCGGCTCACTTGACTTGGATCTGGACTTGTAAGAATGTTCAGGTTCAAGTCCAAAAAAAAACAAAATTCAAGAATCGAGTCCGGACTTATTACCATAAAAGACCATTTCACATACCCCTTTTCTTTTCAAACCACCTAAAACCTTCCGTAGATTGCAAAAACTTGGCTGCAAAATGAAGAAAACATTACCATCGGGCATCATCAAGTACCGGCCTCCATGTTATGTGGCTTAAGTTTCACCCAGACAACATATTGCAAGGTTGCCAACATGCAATTTTGTATATGCCATGGGTTTAGGTCCAGACTTACAAGTCTGGAACTGAACTTAAACCTCTAGACTTAAATCCGGACCTGAACCTAAATGTGGGTTTAGGTATGCAGCACTAATACAGATACAGATGGTCTTCCAAAAAAGTAAAGCATTGGCAACCCTCCTAACTTTTATTTATTTACTGTAAGGCATCACCAGCATCCCTCATGCAGACCCACTATAATACTGATGCTGATCCTGTTGTTTTTGTCCCAGATGTTGGAGTATTATGACAGGACAGAAGAGGCTGGGAAGGTTCTACAGGGGTACTGGGAGAAGAACCCGGAAAATCCAAATGCACACAAATATTACTACTTCTTCCTGAGGAAACATAATAGTCCTGATGAGCAAAAAGTCAAAGTGCTTAAGGTTTGTAACTTCACTACTTCTGGTAAACCTGCAAAATGCAAAAATAAGAGTTCGGAGATCTCATACGTAGATTAAATAATTAGAGCTAATTTGGTTGTTTTATTCTGTCTTGTTGATTATGGAAATAACCATTGTAATTAGCATAATCTACAGTGTATCTCAACTGATGAGGACAGATATACAATGTACAGACACATCCTACATTTTGTAAACAATACTTCTATTTTTCAAGGAGGTAATTAGACACAAATGCTGTCAGAAAACCTTACAAGGAATGTTTTTACATACTTTTTTATTCGGTAACAAAACAAGACTGTATAAAGCAACTGTATAAAGCAAGTTTGCATGTAGCTTGACCTTCATGCACATAACAGAAGTGCCACCCGGTGTGCAACTTTGGTACTGCACTACTGCTGATCATATGGCTGATCACACCTGACTTTGTATTGACTGTCTTGACTAGTACACAGAGTTGATCTTCAAATATTTCCCATATAGGAGCTGCAGAACATAGTGCCATCAGATGAGCTGATGTTGGACCTTGTTTGTTTAAAGCAAGAAGGTACAGTACACATACCACGTTTGATGTCCCTACAATGTATATTGAATATTCATAATTCTTTTATTGCTGGTGGGATCTGCTTCTGTATCTGTATCTGTATCTGTATAGCCGGTATAACCGCCTTTCGGCGTAACACACCAGCTTCGCAGGCACGCGGCGCGGCGGCAGCTGGCTATATTACACCGATCGACTTGTTACACCTAACCCTTGAACTTCTAGCTCTAGACATTGTTTAAAGCTATCTATTGACAGTGCCCCTACTGTACTTGGTGACAGTGAGTTCCACTCTGCGATAGTTCTAGGAAAGAATGAATTCTTGAACACCTCATGATGCTTGCATGATATGATCAAAGTTTGCCACCATATTCTCTCTGTCACAAAGTATAATTGTTTGGGAAGAATTAAAACTCAAAAGTAGATGTACAACATGTACTTAGTACAATGTAGTTGTAAGTTAACTATAGCTGGAATTATGTTGTATGGTTTGAGATAACATTGATGTCAATAGTGTTAAACACTGACAAGACAACATTTTGCTGCTTTGTGCTGAGTATCACATTTGATGCATGTTGGTTTGTTCAATGGATGTGTGTAAAATACATATTATAATAATATGAATGAAAACCAAGCAGATGTCAGGAGGGAAAGACTGGCTGAATGAAACAAGAAGTGATGCAATTTTTCACTACACGTAACTGTTAATAAACTATTACATATATTGTCTATTGGAAAGAGGGCATGATACAATAATATATACATTTTAGTAACTGTTGTGTATCTGTCCAGTCCAGTCTTATTAGCATTATTGTAGTCCAATTCAAGTCACCAATGCATTACTTGAGTCACACATCGTCATCACACTAACTGCATCCAACCAGGCCCCCAGCTAGCTCTAGCTTTTTTAAAAGCATTTATTCTTTGTCTTACTGTTGGCATGTTTGTACACAGAAGATTTAGGGGAGTGTCTACATGTGCTGTTTGACCTTTTGGACCACCACTGTTGGAGTCAGGACATCAGACCCTGGCAGAACCTGGCTGATATGCTCAGGAAGATTCACACAATGTGAGTGGGAAAATACTAGTAACCTCTTCAACAATCTTTTTGGGGGCTGGACATGCTATATACTATATACATGTATAACATAAAAGTCTGTGCTTTGACCATAGCATACTTGTCATGCGGGTCAGCAGAACGCAGACAAGTCTGCCTGCACAAAACCTGTATATGTTTTACGCTTTTCATTTGATGTTTAGTTAATGATGCATCAGAGTTTTGCCCATTGCAGACAATATCTTTTTCAACCAAGATTTGAATAATATAATGTTATATACACTAGAGGGGATGTCATTCTTAGATACGCAAATACAACCTCAAATGAGATCTTTCTGTGGGAAGGCCAGAGCCTCAGAGGAGGTCATTTTTTTTAGAATAGGCGAAAATCAATGCGGATGTCATCCATAAAATTAGATCAGTACTGTGGTCTAACCCTTAAACTCTTTATGCAGACAAACTCCTTCCCTGATGGACACATTGGAGCAGTGTTGGTACATCAGACAGGACTGGTGGCCTCCGTACCATTTCCCCCCCTCCTCGGCTGAACACATGGTCCGGTCCAACCCGGCACTGGCCCTGGTCAAAGCTGTCGTCTGCAGCCTCATGTCAGCTGGTGAGACAACCTTAGATCCCTGAAATCTTTGCTTTGAATTATGATATTTGAAGACAAAAGGTAGTGGATGCTACCCAAAACGTCTGACCATTTCCATTTATTAATAGCCTAGAGGCCAGACTGTTCTCAAGGCTAGTACTGTACATACAGTGTAGGCCCGCCCCACATTTAGACTCTGAGCAACTGTGGGATGTCTGTGGTAAAATTTTCTCTGGGACAGGTTGGCCCTGGAGCTAGTCTACATTTGTATATACTGGTCCTGGCAACAGTCTAGTACCCAGGCTATTTTGATAATGGCTTTTTCAATAATGACTTTTTTTTTTGTCTGACAGTTATTTTTCATATTTGTGCCTGACAAGTTGGGTCCCCCTTCTCTCGCCTTCTTTTGTTTAATTGTTGGTAATTTTATCCGACTTTCAGACAGAGGGTTTTCCCAAGCCGTATCCGACCTTCTACAGCCAAGCCAAAGATCTGTTGTGGAAGAGGCTGTTCAAATTGGTGATGCCTGGAGGAGAATACAAGATGGCAGGAGAAGGAGGAGCAGTAGCAGTAGCTTTAGCTCCAGTGGTCACAGGGACAGACACAGCACAAGCAGCAGTAGTAGTAGTAGTTATAGTAATAGTACCAGTGGTAGTAATGTTGGTGGTAATCATTGTGCAAGCAGGAGAAGTAGCAGTAGCAGCAATGGAAGCAGTAACAGTAGAGGTGCATGTAGTAGGAATAGTAGTATCAGTAGTAATGGTAGTAACAACAGCCACGTCAGCAATGTAAGCAATATTTCAAACAGTAGTAGCATAGAAGAGAATGTAGTATGGTAGTGATTCATGCAACCCAAAAAAAAAACTGGCTAAAGATTATATCACCTACGCATCAGGTAATTAGATACGCCAAAAACAGTTACTCAAGCAACTGGATATGATGTTGGAATTTTTAATCATAGCCAATTATGCATCTCCAATCTCTCATACTGATTCAAGCAATGTGAATATTTTCTAACCAAAAGTATTGTAAATAAATTACTTGAGATCAATGTGACAGCATGCTCTTTTTAGAATGTTGTTCATTGTGTCATTTTGCAACGGCTGCTAGATGTACTGCAACATGAACATTAGATATGCTACCCTCACCATGGTACATGTATTACAGTAATCACACTTTTATTTTTGCGGTTTTCGCAGTCACTTCTGTACATCAAACCATGGACGTAAAAACCTCCATGCGCAAACTTATCATTGCTGTTAACAAATTATTCGATGACTTTTTTTTCTGCACCTGTTGCCACTGTGAACATATAGTTTTGTGAACACCTCCATTTTCCTCAGACCGTGAACTTTTGCTACCGTGAACATAAAGTGAATTATAGTATCCCTTCTAAATCAGCTGCTCAAGGAACCATTAACCGGTTTGTCATTGCCATGACGTCATTTCACTGCTCTCGTCTCCAAAACACTGCCCGTTGCCCTGCCCTAATGCCAAAGTTAGTAAGTCAATAATGGACCAGTTTGGAGAGTTTGCGGAACATGCCGATGTAGTCAAGGATGTGATGTAGACCCAGTGACTCTGTATAAGCTCAACATCAGCCAGCGCTTTGTATCCACGCATTTAAGACCTTTATCCTGCAGACGTAGCACACAGAAAAGCCCATCTCTCATCACAGTCTAACTCGGTCCAACAGACAGTTGCGATGCGGGCGTTCCTCCTGGTTTTGGCTGTGGTCGTCTGGGCGGCTTCGGCTCAACTGCCACAAGGTAGATATACAATTTCCATGGTAAAGGCACTTTGCACGTATTTCGTCACTCCATTATATACAATGGGTGTAATTAGTGTACCTAGCTTCGTTAAGACGTCCCTCGGATAGGACGTTAAGGTATTCCGTGTTTGAGAAGAGCCACACTTTGAGGTTATTACTGTCTTGAGCATTGATATCGATGCTTCTGACTTCGGCAAAAACATGTATTTTACTAACCTGAACTTAGTTTGGTGGTCTCTTGGCTTTGCATTACAAAGGGTGTTCAGGAATTTGTCACGATACGTTACATACTAGGGGCCCGGGCAAATATGGGGATGAAATATGTGGATGAACGTGTAAAGAAAGAAGCAGGTCGATTTAAAGATTTGTTTATTATTCCTTTCCATACACAACATTTACTTGAAAGTACAACATGCTACGAATAATAAAACAAAGAACTTGATTTAAGGCAAGGTAAGTTCTTTGTTTATTATTTTCATTATGATATAAATACCACTATGATTCATTAAAAAGACTTGCGCTGGGCATGTTGGCGACATATGAATTTATTTGTGCAGCAAATCGTCTGTATTGTATGTGGGTAGGGCGGGGGGATTAACGCAGAATCTTTAGATGCAAGCCATTCATTTTTAAGGACCCGGGCCCAATTTTAATTGCTTAAAAGCTGTCTGTCGATCGCAAGCTGAGGGCTTTTCTCTGGATAGTCGTGCACGTGCCCTGCAAAATTCAACTGTCTTGTAGGAAAAGGTGCATTTTTTATCCATTTCGGTGATTGGTACCGGTTCTGTCACAACCTGTTTTAAATTTACGGCCCTAATATTGTGCCACTACATGCCATGAATGTGACCGCAATATTAAGCACCCGGTACCCATAGCTTTTATACTGGATAACAAAGGACTTTGACATATTAACTACAATTGCCATCATCAGCCATTCCTCTCGTTCTTAATTACATATGTCACAAGTTTGAATAGTCTTATCATGGAAGATTGTAGATTTATATAATTCCCTAATCAATTATGCAAAATAGATCCTAATTCGCATACTTGTCATCTAATTATGCCAAGCACCACTAAAGCTACATACATACCAAAATTATGACGAACTGTGAATCGGTTCTTTAGCTATCCTATCCTCCCCTAACTATTTTTTAACAAACCCTCCTGCAGTTCCAGAATAAGCTGCTAGGGGGCCTAAACTTCCGTCACTTCTGGTAAAGCTCTCTATCACAAAATTCGTGACCCTAGTATGTCCAGATCAGTAGATCTCAAAATAGAACGTTCCGCTGCAGTACCGTGATGTACCGCTAGGGGCCCAAAAGCTAATTATTTCGATGTCTCATCAAATACTCACCAAATATGAAGACAATCCACCCAATCATGAAGTTACACACACACACCACCGAAAACATAACCTTCTTGGCGAAGGTAGTTAGCATTATTTAGTATTTATCCCTTACTTGACTTACATAGGCTGATTTGTCAACTTTCAAAAACCTTTACTGTTACATTGAAATAACAAAATTCCGTACCTTCTTTTAAAGGTCACACATCCACGTACCTGACCACCATGGATAATTGGAAATTCTACAAAGTTCCCGCGACGGGACCGATGACCAATACCAACGTGATAAATACGTGTGAAGCGAGGGGGATGAGGTATCCATGCCACCATGCATATTCTGGCTATTGCATGTTCATATTCAACTTCGGCGGGGGCTGCATCAGTTGGTACCATACTGCCAATGGCAGTATCAGCTGTACCACCTTTGAAGCCTTGTCGAGGGTACTGTGTCCGGGTGAAAACCGCTGTCATTTCCTTGATAACACGTTTGTGTACAACCATGGAGCGTCCGACGATGATGCCTATTCTTACAACGTTATACAGGGTTCGAGCTACAAGTACGCCCTGTGCGCAGGTGAGGATGAATGTCCCACACAATAAGATAGAGACTTTTTTTATTGAAGGAACAATACAAGGACAAGGACAAAGTGGGGCTGCACTCAAGTTATACACTTACTTTAACAGCTCCACTTGACTTGAATCTGAACCAAAACAAAATATGTAAATAAGAATAACAATTATCTCCCCTTTCCATGTAGCAATATATACTCGTAGAAGCACTAGTATTGATTGACTTCATTTGACAAAGGTAAAGTCAAGTTGATATATTAACCTATAACACCACCTCTTTTGTTTCCAGTTGCTACGTGTGCGACGTTCCCACGGCCATGTGAACACGGAACCTGTACTGACGTCGGAGTGACGAGTTACACCTGTAGCTGTGAGGACGGCTGGACTGGACATGACTGTGATCAAGGTAATTTTCTCTCATTATTAACCATTAAGGAACCAAAAATCTAATCAATTCTAGGTCTCATGAATACCTATCCACCTACCAAGTTTCGACTTGACAATTCATTCATAGATAAACTACATACATTATACCTTTGGAGTTTGGACACATTCTTGTACAATTCATAGAATTCTTGCAGACTGCACACCCTTCAGGGTCGGCCTTAGGCGTAGCCAAAACATTCATTTATTTCATCCATACAGAGTGAGATATGTTTAGTGTTAATGGCTTGAGCAAACTTCAAAATAAGATTCTTGAATAATATTATCTCTCGGTAAATTGCTAATTTTTCAGATATCGACGAGTGCGCGAGCAGCCCTTGTTTCCTGGGAGGGACCTGTCTGGATCACGTTAACGGCTACAGCTGTGTGTGTCCTAAGGATACAACCGGAAAAAATTGTGAAACTGGTAGGGTCTCTAATTCAATCTAATTGGCATGGATGCTTCTAAGTTGTATAATAACATGTTCTTTTGCAGCAGCATAACAAACATCTAGTATGTATGACCCAATTGTATATGAGTGGATGAATGCATGAAATATATATTGTGACTTTAATACTGTAATTTTAGAGACATTCACAACCAAATTTGTATGTAATTATCAACTGTACTCATTCTCATCTTGGGGAGAGGGGGGCACAAGATATATGGCCTCACCTTGTTGATATCATGTTCAAATGATCTATTTTATGTGCATCCAACTAGAACAAAATATGTAGAACTAGAGTTCGAGGAACACATGCCTATGCCATGTAAAGAATATTTTAACCTTTAGAGTTATTGTGATGTGCTAGATGTGTAGTCTTGCCCAGTAACTCCTTCGAGCTATCCTAGGACTCTTTCCAAGCCCCTTAACACCCACAGGTGCACAGCAACCTGCCACATCACTGTCACATTTTGGTCAACTTCATACATCTATATGTTTATCATCAACTTAATAAAATAAAACAAAATAAAATAAAATAAAATAAAATAAAATAAAATAAAATAAAATAAAATAAAATAAAATAAAATAAAATAAAATAAAATAAAATAAAATAAAATAAAATAAAACCACTAAATACCATCAACAACCATCCACTGCTTCTCTGCCTCTCGAGTTATGTTGTACAGCGTCAAACAAAAACACAAGTCAAGTCAAGTCAAGTTTATTGTGCAACAATTGCATTTGATACAATGTATGGCAAGTGACACTTAATAACTATAACAAAAACACAAAAAAATGTGGGAACATGACAGGATACCCATTTTCGCACTTGAGCCTTGTTTCCATAACCGCTACTCACCTACTATCATCAACTATCATCAACACCCATTCATAGCTTATAGAGTTATGCTGAACACATACAATCAACAAATGCATAAAAAGCCCACTACAGTACCGTTGAAAAAAGCCAGGTTTGAACTTGATCTTTATATACCACAACAGCTACTCACATACCAAGTATCCAAGATCTAGATAAGATAACTTCTCCAGATATGACATGACATACACACAAACCCACACCATAGCCACTCCACTTTTTTTCTTTTATTTGCAATTCAACATGGATAATGCAGGACATGGTGGTGGGGTACTGTAGCTATAGCTAATTTAAATTTAACCTCACCACCGAACATACAAATATACAGCAAATGGGTGGAAATGGATCAATAAATAGTAAGGAAGAACAGGTTTTGTACGCCATGTAGCAGTTAATCTAATACAAACCGTTAACCGTTAACGTTAACCGTTTAATATCAATAACGTAAGTTGGGGTGATTGTAAAAATGTTAGTTTGTATCAGGGTGTGAATCGGGTGATCCTCTAAGTAGAATGTTACATAATAGTTGTTCAGACATGTTATGTACATCAAAGATAGAGCCTACCAAGTTCTGTAGATTGCTGAGTAGGATCACTCTTTGTTGATTACATGTATATACTGGGCAGTGTAACAGAAAATGTATGACGCTCTCACAACGAAACCACTTTTACTGATGCTGAGGTCACATTTCCAAACCGGGGCCGGCCGGGCAGTCTTATGGAACGAAAAGAATGATATATAAAAGACAACAACATACAAAAAAAGTTGAAAAAAGTAATAATGGGAAGTATCTGCCTATATTATCGATATAATATTGGTAATCTTTTGTTAATTGAAACAGCCCACCCGGGCCCCGGTTAGGAATAATATGACCTCGGAATCAGTAAAAGTGAATTGCCTACTGACTTTTCTCATTGAAAAATTCTAGTGCCTTTTGCCGGAGAATGCTACCAGTTCCGTGCCACCGCCGCTACCCACTCTGAGGCGGCCCAGGCCTGCCAAGCTAAGAACGGACACCTGGTGTATGTGAAGGACGAGCAACAGCAAAGTTTCCTCGCAGAGAAGATCGCGTCTTCCACCGGCGCCACCAGCTGGCTTGCAATCAAAACAGCACCAGCGGTGTTTCTCAGTAACGGCTCTCCTTTTTCAGGTATGGAGGACCTTTTCCCACTAGGATAGAATTGTCCAGATCGAGCCGAATACATTCGCTTTGACCCGGCTTTGGCTTGATCCGGAAAATTCTATGAAAACATGAAAATGCTGAGATAGCAGGTAAAACATGGATTAATATGTAAAATTAATTGATTTTTCTAATTCAAAAATTTAGTCCGGTATAAACCGTTTTGTGTCCTCACGTTTAGTCAGGTATAAAACGCTTTGTGCCCTCACATTTAGTCAGGTATGAACCGTTTTGTGCCCTCACATTTAGTCATGTATAAACCATTTTGTGCCCTCACTGCCCTTATACATTTGTTCAACACCAGGACCCCTGCAGTGGTCTACAAGTGAACCCGCCGCTCCCTGTGATCTGTGTGTTCTCCTGGACAGCTCGGACAGCTTTCTGGCCAAGACAGCACAGTGCACGGAACAGCACAGCTACGTCTGCCATGACGGTAAAAGAATAATTATCATGTAGCCAGAAGACATTCCCAAATCAAAAGGTTCCATTTCCCATTGGTTACCAGGCACTAACCTCAAAACTGGTCAGTTACTAGAATAACCGACCACTTTTTGGACCGTACCATTATGTAGGGGACTGACCACTAACAGACTTGTTTTGACACACCCACTAAAAGTGGTACTGTTCCAATATCACGCGGTCACCGCAGATGATGACCTAGATGATCTGTTTCTCTATCCACGCAATCTTGTTTCGCGTAAAATTGAATGTGAGAGATTTTTCGGCAATGGACCAGCGTAATATGTTTACCTTTACAGAAGTAAAACATATTGTTTTGCTCTGTTTCTCCTTGCTCTTCCTCTTCTCCATACAACTTAAGTCAATGACCTGGGCCAGCCGTCTGTCACCATGGTAACTGCTGCTGTAGCAGACACCCTGTGTACGTTTTGTAGTAGGACATAGCTGGAAGGGTTGCTTCCATGTATTACATGTGTTTCAGTAACAATAGACAAAACATTATGCATTTGTTTTGCAAATGTTACCTTTCTTGTTACAAATTGACTGACTGGAAATCATTTCAGACCTGAAACCGTGTGGACAGAACGTTTGCCAGAACGGCGGAAACTGCACCTCCTGCTTCAACAACTCTGCCGTCTTCTGCGACTGTCCTGACGGGTTTGACGGAAAGACCTGTGAGATAAGTATGTACTACAAGACGTTTTGTTTCCTAGAATCGCACATTTATTAGTTTCTCTCTTCTTCTTTCTAAAATAAAACTTTCCAGACAAAACCGGCAAGTACAGCAAAACCTGTCTATATCATTCGAAGACTTGGTCACAGTAGACAAAATTGTTTTTAAATGAAAAAAAAATATTCTAAGAAAATTAAAAGTGAACACAGTGACCAAATTGTTCTTTTACAGAGGTAGTCCCAAGTACAGGTTTAATTTCATTTGTTTATATTTCGCATGTGTAAAAACTATGTCCAGACCCCGAGTGTGATGACTTCTATGTCATGAATGTATATACAAGAAATAAGAGAAATGTCTACAGCCTTCTGTGGTTTCATAATGGTCATTATATTCAACGATAACCTGATTCTCTATATTTCAACAGACATTGACGACTGCGCTTCCGGTCCGTGCCAAAATGGCGGGAGTTGTCAGGACCACGTCAACTCCTACTCCTGCCTCTGCCCAGTCGGGTACCAAGGAGACCACTGCGAGACAGGTACATGTGACAAGAATCTAGATTTCTTGTAACACGATCTCAAAAACGTTCTCTTTTCCGGTTGAATAAATTGAAATCAGGCTAAAAAGAATGTAACTGGCCAGGAGAGTTGGTCGGCCATAGAGGGTCCAATTTGCTAGATGCACGGAAAGTTGGGTCCTCTATGGCCGACCAACTCTCCTGGCCAGTTAGTTAGATTCTTTTTAGGTTGATTACTACTATTTATTCAGCCGGAAAAGGAGTCTGGTAGAGTCTGCAATTTGCAGACGTTTCTGTAAATCCTTATGGCTGCCGTCTTATTTTCAAGCGTCCGCCGCTTGGTGGCACAGCCATGATGCAGTCCTAAACATATCTGAGTCTATATATGCGCCACTGTTAATGAATGCATTCCTCTGTCATGTTTGGGACAGTATGGCCACATATATATATTAAAGCTATACACGGGACTTAAGATCTGACGATACTTGACATTTAGCACATTCTAATAAACGCAGCTTTCTTAATCCTTAAATAATTTCATCGGATAGGAAATTGATTTATTCATTCTTTGAATAGTTATTTTATTTACATGAGCCGGCACTTCCGATGACCGTCAGTTATCTTCAAAAGATAACAATAAAAGAACATTACTATTTAAAATGTAATCCTGTTTTCCTGTCTATAATAATTCTGTCAATAATAATTTGTTCTATCCAGACATGGACTGGTGTTCTCAAGTCCAGTGCCCTCTTGGGTTTATCTGCCAGGACTTTACGTTCTACTTCCAATGCGTTCGTGAGTACTAGTGTTTTACATGTTCTTTTTTTTAAATTTTATCATCATAACATATTGTTGGTAGCTGTGTGTTTGAAATTAATCGATATAGTTAAACAGAGTTAAACAACCTACAGTTGATGAATGCTGACTGATCGATGTAGCATTAAAAAAAATCAATTGATTTTTTTACTGCAATGCAACTCTGTAGTTGCCAACATATTCTGTCATTTGTAAAACATTTATACAACTGGCTTGCATTGATGTCATGAATCTATGCGATTGATAATTTATAATTTTTGTGGCAATTAATGATACGATTGGATATATAATTGAACAGGTTACTTAAACAGATGATATGAAGTACAATGCATATCCATACTGTTTTTAGTTTATCATATCTACCAGAGTAATTGTTGACAAAACCTCCCTTGTAAACACTGTGTGCATCTAGACCCATCTGTCAACGCCCACCGTGGGGTCCAATACCACTGCAACAGCGCCTCCTGTCCGGACGGCATGTACTGCACCCAGGAGGGTGTGGCAGCCTTCTCATGCAAGCCTGAGTGACGTCACAACCGAAAACTTCCACGTGACAACTAGCAGCCAATGGCCGCTATATGCATGTCTTGAACATGTACTGAGAGTTACAACCAGCATATAGAAATAGAGCCAGTAGATTGTAGATCAATAAAACATCAGAAATTTGCATGGAAACTTGTCTTGTCTTGATATTCCAAGATAAAGTTAGATACTTTAGTCCAACAATAGTAAAAGTAGCTCACCGTGAATTTTCAGTGACTCTTACGTCAACTTTCTAGTGTTACTCTTTTGTTACGTTGTCCACGGAGCAATATTGGTTACATTCACAAAAATGTTGTGTTTCAATCGTATTAACCTGGCAGGCAAAATTTGTACATTTGAGCCCCACCGCGACGAATATCCATCTCTAAAAATTACATTAAAATGACACTAATATACGCCAAAAAGCAGTCACTCAAGCAACTGGATATGATACTGTTATCCAGTTGCTTGAGTAATCATATCCAGTTGCTTGAGTAACTGCTTTTTGGCGTATCGTATTACCTGGATGTCTAACCTTCATTGACGACACTAATATAGCTTCTGCATCAGACGCTAATGACATAAAAAAAACTCTGAGCTAGGTTTATTTAACAAAGAAACGTACTAGATATAGTACTCTGATGTCATGTTTTCTTAAATCATGACACGGACATAGTTATCAACACCTTGGAACAAATGTGTCATCATGTTGGAAAAGGTACACCATTCTTATCTCATACAATACAATACTGTACAGACTGTTCATCACGTCCAATATCCGTTTGCTAAGTTTAATAATGAATGCACAGCTTTGTACGATTTGAGCTGGCCTCTTAGGATTTCTGGAACAATGATGATAATTTAGAGGGATTTTCCGAATAGCCCGGTAAAAATTACATTGTCCGATGGCTGATCCTTCCAAAGAAATATTCATACGGTTTTCGACTTTTTAGTTGTGCTCTACCTTTTGTCTTGGTCGGTTCTGGGCGCTGAATATGCATTCCCTGGGCGCGTAACTGCAGCGAATTGCTATGGGAAATGACGCTGGCCTAAACATGAAAAATCCTGAAAAAATGCGTTTTTACTCAGACAAGCATACTGTATGCGAATTGTGTTGACATTGATTATTTGCAAACATAACAATAGCGGGGCAAATAAAAACTAGACGGGTTTCAAAAATTGATTTTGCTACTCTACTGAAAATATCGCTAATGTATTATGTGTAACGTTGAAATAATTGTTAGATGCTAGTACTTGTGCGCTACCAATTGTGTTGTACAATGTTATATTACAGATGCGACACCATCGCCAGACTGCATAGAGTATAAAAACGTGCAGATCTTTCGACGGTCTTTCAGTGACCATTTTCAGTGATCTTCAAGGTCTTCTAATGATAAGTGGTATTTAAATCATTTCATACATAGATCACATTTTTCGCTTGTCGGTCACTCATGCTCATTTTCATGTGGGAATGTGAATGTAATCATGGTGTCGCTACATTTTCGTACAGAGTATTAAGCTGGGAGGCAGTAGGGCCTGTGCCATAAGATGCATTTCCCGCATCCAAGGATTCAGCGATGGCCTGAGACTGCCCCTGCCCTGTGTAATCATGTTGGTTTTCATACAGAGAATTTAGCTGCGAGGCAGTAGGGCCTGTGCCATAAGATATATTTCCAGCATCCACTGATTCGGTGACGCCCTGCAACTGACCCTGCCCTGCTTGATCATAGCCATTAGTTATTACACTAGCTGTATTTGTGTTGGATTCAGTGATGGTCTGAGACTGGGTCACAACTTAGTATAGAGAATTTAGCTGCGAGGCAATCGGTCCTGTGCCATAAGATAGATTTCTAGCATTGGTGGTTCCTGACTGACCCTGCTCCGTCTGATCATGACCACTGGTCATTACAGTAGCTGTGGTGTTTGTGGTGGATTCAGTGATGGCCTGAAACAGGTTCTGCCCTGTCTGACTACGACTGATGGTGGATGTTGGGTCATTTGGTGGTGGTATTTCCACACCTTGGTACATGGTATTTGGCTTCAACGCAGCTAGCACCTTGCTACGCGCTAGAGCGTGTAGAGATAGAGGTTGAATGTTAGCCTGGGACTGACCCTGTCCTGTCTGATCACGATGGTTGTCAATATCTTCATATTGGTGATCATGTCCACTGGTCATTACAGTAGCCATGGTATTCATGTTGGATTCAGCGATGGCCTGAGACTGACACCGCCCTGTCTGATCACGATGGTTGTCAATATCTCCATACTGGCTATCATGACCACTGGTCATTACAGAAACTGCTGTATTTGTGTTGCCACCAACAACATTGGGACTCAGTCTTAATGGAGGATGCCTGGTCCTCCTCTTGTACCAAACTGTGAGGAAGATGGTGCCAACCAGGACAACGCCAGCTACTGAACCACCAGTGGCAATACGAACAGTTAGGTTGAAACTGTGAGCAGATTCTGGTCTGTCTGAAGTGCTTGCAAGCAGTAAACTTGGTGTTGTTCCTGTTGTGCTCGTGTTTTCTGCAGGATGTGATGTTGAGTCAGCACTACGTTTAAACAACCAGTGATAGCGAGAGGTGGCGGTGGCATTGGAACAGGTATTAGCACTTTCTAATGGGTTAGCAAGTTGCTGTGTGGCAGATGTTGGGCATACAGGACATGCTGATGGACCAGCATTGCTTTCTGCGTTGCTAACTGAACATGTTAACATTGCAGATGCGGTTGACCCTTCACATATCATATCTTCAGGTTTGAGATCTATAAGCTTCTTTCCCTGAAATTTGGAAGGTTGGGCACATATCATCTGCAGTTTAACCGAAGGAAATTTAATGATATTCAGTCTGAAGCAAGCCATCCTACAGTCACAGCGCCAAGGGTTACTGCCAAGCTTCATGAAACGAACAGATGGCAACATGCCAAAAGCTGAAGGGAGGATGGCAGACATGTTGTTATCATGTAGCTGCAAGATTTCGAGTCGGGGCAGATGTATGAATGCATTAATAGGATGGATGATAGTTATTAGGTTAGAGTTTAGATATAACATTTGTAGTCGGGGCAGATTTTGAAATGTACAGGCCTGAATGGTTGTTATCTGGTTGTTGGACAAACGCAGCTGTTGTAATTGGGGTAGATTTTGGAATGTACCTGGCTCAATTATTGTAATCTGGTTCTGCATCAGGTACAATATTTCGAGCTGGAATAGATTTGCAAATGTACCAGACTCAATCATTGTTATCTGATTCTGGTTCAGGTCTAACCTTTGGAGCTGGGACAGATTTGCAAAAGTACCTGCCTGGACCTTCGTGATCTTGTTTTTGGACAGGTGCAACTGTTGTAATCGGGGTAGACTTTGGAATGTACCAAGCTGAATCATTGTTATCAGATTTAAGTTCAGGTGCAACCGTTGTAGTTGAGGTAGATTTTGAAATGTATCAGGCTGAATTACAGTTATCTGGTTACCGGGCAGCTTCAACACGTGTAGCTCGGTTAGATTGTGAAATGTACCAGGCGGAATCATTCTTATCTTGTTGGCGCTGAAGTCCAATTGCTGTAGGTGGGGTAGATTTTGAAATGTACCAGTCTGTATCATCGTTATCTGGTTACGAAAAAAGTTCAACGTTGTCAGATTTCTATACCTCAGCAACTGGGACTGATCTACAGTTTTGATACGATTTCCTGCCAGAACCAGGCCTGAGATGGATGTTGGGAGGTGTTGAGGAATGCTGTAGAGGCCCATATTGTTACATCTGCAGTATGATGATGCTGGTGCACAGTCTTTGCATCTAATTTTTCTTGCCATGTTGGGTACCTCCAGGATGATGAGAAGGAAAATCAGCATGTGTCTCAGCTTTCCTCCCATGGTGTCCTGCCACCTAAAAAGATCAGGGAGCACCTTTATAGGGTCAACAAACTTTATGTATTGAAATTCGAACGAAAAAGATCATGCTTCTCTAGGAAATCAACATGAAAAAAGAAGGAGACCATTTTGTGAAATGGAAAAGTGAAATGGTCCTAGAATTGTGTTTTTTTTTCCGTTGGGCAATTTATCGCAATAAAATGTCATAGCACCAAGAAATGTACGTGGTGTGGCCAAAAAATTATAGATTCGGAACAGCACTGTAACGTTAGATCCTATTTGACGTTTCAGAACGGAAAATGCATTTCCCCCTATAGATAGTTTGCTGCTGTTTCTGTAAGATAGTTACGTGCTTTATAGTACTTGTTCCTTGAATGTTTAGTTAAGTGTGAAACATTAACAGCACGTCCTACATTATTGGGGTCTCAATAATATGGACCTGTACCGTAAATTGTCTGAGACTTGCTGCTTGAATATGAATATTATGCACTTTTATATAATGACCCTGTTTATATCTCCCAGACAAGGAAATCGTGGATGGATGGATTGAAAATGATATTTACGATTATCTTTAATTAAATGATTCAGCTGCCTGTTTCTAAAATATCATCAGTCATTTTAGGAGTGTGTTAAGTCATGTACACCCTTCTGAATAATGTACTTGTATAACAAAACTCCTGCCAAGTGTAGATAAATAAGCTAGTGTTGCTATATGTTTATTGTCTGAAGGCTTGTGATGGCCAAAACTAAAATCTGGCCCTTGAATCATTTCAAACAGACTGTGGCTTGACAGGACAAGTTTCTCCTTTCGATGGAATTTATCCAATACTGCGGTATCACCAAAATATTCCCCTTTTCAGAATAACCTTATCTCCAAGCAGATGCTGGGGTGGAATGTTGTAAAACGTTCTGACGGAAACGTCACAATTTTACACCCTAACATCTGCCTGGAGAATTACTATGATTGTCTGCCTATGCGCTTAGGCCAGTGAATATGATTAAAACCCCTGTCACACATTCAGAACCATCCGACCAAGGTTGGCTGAAGTTCGGGAACAGTACTAGTCTAACCAGATTTAGGTCACACCTACGTATACCAAGCTTTCAATTCAAATTGAACCTAAATGAATTTGAGTCAAATTTGACTACCAGCTGCCACGCCCCGACCTAATCGTACCAGTCAGCCATGGCCGAACCTTCCGTCCACACCCGAATGTTTTGAACATTTTGAAACATTCGGGTGGTGCAGCCGAACAGTAGACGACCTCCCCGAACACCAGACGACCCAGCCATCCTGGCTCCCGACCTACTCCTAACAACATGGCTGAGGGGAGGGGGATGTCTAGTGTTCGGGAGGCCATATTCGGCTAGGTGTGCCAGGGGCTTATTCTTTGACAAACTGTTGCCTTAAATGTTATCCGATGGCAAAAACTTACCTTTTAAGTGGCTCAGAATGGCTTTAAATTTAGTTCGCACTTCCGTGACAAGAGCTCGAGCACAGGTTGCCGTTGTTCTTGTAGGGTGTGTCCTCCTTCGGTAGGTGATCCGTTATGCAGTGTGACAAACAACAATTATATAAGGCTTACGTGTACGGTGGTGTTGATTGTCTGGAACTGGCTATTTCGAATAACATTAACATTTATGATGATGAATATTGCAATCATGACGCAGGTCTCGAGATGCATATTTACTTGTTTTCGTCATACCTTGTACTAAGAAAATACAAACTACAGAAAATACAAACTTTCAATGTATTTCAGAGTCTTTCAAGAAAATGAATGGCATAAATGTAAGTTGCAATTTTTGAAGTATACGAACATATCTTGTGGGAATTTTTTTGCACTCACATAGTCAAAGGAAACACATTATGGCGGTGGTATTTCGGTATCAATCAGGGCACCTACAACATTTTTTACCTCCATGAAAAATGGAGGTATTGTTTTGGGCGCGTCTGTGTATGTGTGTGTGTGTGTGTGTGTGTGTGTTTCCGCACATTTGTAGTCAGCATAACTTCAGAACGCCTTTATGGATTGTGATGATATTTGGTATACTGGTAGGTCTTAGGAAGCCAACGGTCAGGGTCAAATCACCCTCCTGGTGGCTGACCTTGGTACTGCAGCAGAACTTCCGGTTTTGTGAGGCAGGGAAAACAGGTGTGCCGGTTATGCAACAAAACACCAGCGGTAATATAAGCGCGCCGGTTTGATTAATGAGGTTCTCCCTCTGGAATAGGCTGACCTATTTCAGGTCAAAGGTGCTACTGTATTAGCTGTGTGTTTGAAAACAAAAGCCTGTGTTATTTTGTTCTGTACTCTAGTATACTGTGTAAAAACATTTACAAAAACTCATATATTTCATGGAGGTATGAGATCTCCGAATTCTAGTTTTACATTGATACCAAGCCCAACAATCTATTGTAGTCGGAAAGAAAATAGTTTGCTGTAGGCATTGACTATGTTTATTTATTTTTCTAATTAGCAAAGTCAGTGGCAACACACACGCCGTGTATTACGAGCAGTAAATTAGGATTAGCATAATCTAGTTCAATTTATGGTTTTCTAAATTCAAATTACAACATTTTTCGTGTAAAATTTTTCGAGTCCTCATTATGCAAATTACCTCTACATTAACATAATATATGCAGTTATGTTAAACTTCAAGTAACTTACACATGTCACAAGGTATAAGATTCCCATCAGTCACCAATAAGGAATCACAGAATTTTCACAATAATTATGCAAATTAGGTCATCATTTGCAAAATTGGTATCTTTTGATGTTCCTTCTGCCATAGATTACTTTTAGATTTTCTAACATAACACGTATAAAAGTACTATTATACAAAACACTGTAATTATAGAATTTACTCCTTAACTATGCAAATTAAGTCCTAATTTGCATAATTTGAGTTGGTAGGTCTTCCTAAGACCTACCAACGTACCACATATAATCACAATCCGTAAAGGCGTTATGAACTTATGCTGGCTACAAATGTGAGGAAACAAGATCAGGAGTTTCACATTTGGATGTTATCAAGGAGATCCTGCTAATGATTTATAGTGTATATTTGTTGGGCAATTCTAACAGCTAGTATATGGACTGAGTTCTTTGAACTCAATTGCACTCAGCTGTATATAATAAATCAGTTTGGTGTCATGTCAAAATCTCACCAGAGTGGGTCTGACTTTTTGGTGTCCTATGAAAGGCAATATCAGCCTGGGTGTGGAAGCGCTAGTGTTGTTTATTAGTAAATCAAGAGCCTTCTAGCTTAGGATCCACTTAGGATGTACAAGACTCTTTAGTTTGCTGTATCATTTCTACAATAAATAATGTGAAAACCATTTGGACGATTACCCAACTATATGCCTAGGTATAGTTTAAAACCAAGCCATATGTATACAGCAGTACTACTTCAATTCACACTGCAAACAATTTTATTCCATTTTCTCTTTTACGTAGATACTGTGTTTCAAAACAAACAAAACAAAAGCTGCCAATTAACAGTATACAATGTTATAACCATGAAATAATTCACACCAAATTTAAAGAGGAACACCCTGGAATCTGCAACAACATGCACAGACCAAGACGTTGTGAAATTCACAAAGCAACCACGGAATATTTCATGTAACTGCCAGGGCTCTCTCCAGGGTTTGTCTTTCCATCCCTGGATGTAATTTTGCTGCTCAGATTTTCTGATCAAATTTTCTATCATCCTGTCCTCCTCCTGACAAAAATCTAACATTCATGACACTTTCACCAGGGCAGCATGTACCAGTCGCACAAAACGTCCACAGAATGAAGATGATGCAGAAAATAGCCCTTCAGGGGGTTAAGATTTGTCCATCAGTTTTCCTCAATCAAGGATGGACAAAGATTCAGAGTTGGAAAGCCCTGGTAGCAATACAACTATTAAAGTCCATACCAATTTAATTTGTTGGTTCTCGGATTTTTTCTGGAAAAAATAATGGGACAGGGCGAAAGAAAAAAAACAGGTCCAGGCATCCTATTATATCCTCAAATGGAATCTGACATCAACCAACAAATCAAATTGGTGTGGCCTGAAGACAGAAAAGTATACAATGTATATAAATACAGTTTGAGTTTTACTCAGAATTTATAGACAAACAATAGACAGCAAAAGGTTTGTCAGTCATGAAAAAATCAACATGTTTTTGGCAAGTATACCAATCAATAGTATATATCATACAATCATTCCTTTTTAAGGCACATATACAGCTTGATAGAAATATTAGTCTCTTATACTTTGATCTTACCAACTTTTCACAATATATTTAAAAACACAATGTTTTATCAACACCGGACCTGCCATTAATGGAATGTGATTGTCTATATATATATAGTAGTTGAAATTCCATCCCCAACTCCAAAATCTTCATGCTTATTCATTCATGTAAAATCCTACTTTATACCAATCTCGTGTCTCCTCCATGAGGCCAGCTCATGTACAAATCTTTCTTCTAAGCCCTCTTGCATATATGTATACATAATATATATTAGGATATAATCTAGCATTATTTGCAGCAGTGAGTTCCCGACTTAAACAATCAATCTGCTCCAAAAGCATGATGGAGACCTTTTCATGATCAGTCTAACTCATCAATTTACATTCAATGTAAAAGGCTGCAAATAATGTCATCTTGGTCCCTTCACATGGGATGTTGCCATCATCCGCTTTGAAAACCTTTTTCTCTATCTCACACATCTCTTTCTGTACATGAGCTGTACTCTTCACAAACCTGAAGGCACTTACACATGATATCATTGAAAATCTTTTGTAAGGCTACACCATATTTGATGTATCACAGGAGAAATTACATCAGCCTAATTAAAGGAACGTGTAAGAAAAATTCTTAGAGAATATCTATATGGGGCTGTAACTTACTAGTTACTAGCTAGACAAACTGAATTTAATGCTAAGGTTGGGGAACTCAAGGAAGTCCAAACTTGTTTGTCGAACATTCAAACATAATGTTCTCTTTTAACAGTTCATCAAAGCATGTTTTTTCTCATTCATTTTGCTTTCCATTTCGATAGCTGCCATTTTTACAACTACAGCCCACAACCCTGGTATAAAAGATATAACCATAACTGGCTCATTAGGCCGTGTTAATTTGATTATATGGATGACATCTTCTGGGAACCCCAAAACTGAATAAAAAAGATTTTATCTTTTTTCATTTGATTTTGGCAATCTATGACATTGATATCATTTTTACTCATTTTGCAACTGTTTGGTACGATTTACAGTGTGGTTGAAAACTTTTCATGCGTGCGCGGATGTCATCCATATAATCAAATCAACATGGTCTTATGGGTAAAAAAATGAAGATACCAGAGAAGTTGGGGTCTTTTCAAGAAACATCACATACATCTACTAAGCCAGAGTGGCTTACTAACACAGTACACAACAGCTAATAAATACTAAGTACAATACGTGTATACAGCATGGAATGATAGAAAAAAATATTACAGAAATGAAAAATTCTCTACCAGGCAATTCTCTATTAAAAAATAAAATGTAGAGATGCAAATTGCCTGCCAGCACTGGCCAGTACTGGTATAACTGTTGGGTGATTTTATACCATCATATCAGTCAATAGAAGAATCAGTAGCCTAATAATACAAGACTATAGTTTTGAGGTCATCTTCCTTCAATACGTTTATGGCCCAACCAGGTCTGATATCTCAATGCTAACTTGAGATACAAACGCCACAGCCTAAGATACAAACAGCGGGCAGCCTGAGGCATTGTTCATGTCGCTCATGGGGCTGCTGGTCGGATCAGGCTAGAACATGTCTGACAGGTGCCATCTGCCCTGATCCTGATCCAGCAGCATTTGTTCATGTTACCGTCTGTCTGAAGGGCCAGGGCAGCAGGGCATCATAGTCATATGACTTACAAATGGACATGTGGGTACCCTTCCCCATACCATCCCCATTCAGGTACACTCGAGCACACATCTTATACCCATTTCATCTGTCTGAAGGACCAGGGCAGAAGGGCATCATAGTCTCCCCGCATGACTACAAAGAACAGGGACAAGTGGGTACCCTTCCCCATACCGTCCCCGTTCAGGTACACTCTAGCACACATCTTATAATGATTTCATCTGTCTGAAGGACCAGGGCAGTAGGGCATCATAGTCTCCCCGCATGACTACAAAGGACAGGGACATGTGGGTACCCTTCCCAATACTGTCTCCGTTCAGGTACACTCTAGCACACATCTTATAATGATTTCATCTGTCTGAAGGACCAGGGCAGTAGGGCATCATAGTCTCCCCGCATGACTAAAAAGAACAGGGACATGTGGGTACCCTTCCCCATACCGTCCCCATTTAGGTACACTCGAGCACACATCTTATACCCATTTCATCTGTCTGAAGGGCCAGGGCAGTAGGGCATCATAGTCTCCCCGCTTGACTTCAAAGAACAGGGACAAGTGGGTACCCTTCCCCATACCGTCCCCATTTAGGTACACCCTTATGCACATCTTATAACCATCACTGGGTGACATTAGCTCAGGAAAAAATACAGACATTCAAAAATAAAATGTAGAGATGCAAATCACCTGCCAGTACTGGCTTGTGCTGACTCCAAGGCAGGGCATTAGAATTTGGAATGTAACAGGAAAACCGTGCATATTTATTGTAGATGTGTCTGCCATGTGTTAGCCAAGTTATACTAGTTATGTCAATTACAATCAGCTAAGGTCATATTTTGGTGTCATGTGCACTTAAAGGAAGAATGTTTGATCAGTTATTGGCCAGTATCTCAGATGCCTCTCAGGGATGAATGGATAATAAAAATTGCTGCTTGCATCTGGAAAGGTCTGTCTGAAGTTTCCATTTTCTTTGATGAATCATCAGATAGGTTTTAGATGAGTTACAACAAGGGGTACTACAGCATGGAGAAGTGCGTCTCACTATAACTGATTATTGGAATTGTTAAACAATTTCTATTATCCATTCTGGTCAGAGGCATATAGAGTCTAGTCGGCATTTCTACCCTTGCGCAGCAGAGGACCTATGCGGTCGATGTGGGCCATCAAGTTCTTGTTGAGGGCCTGGAAGAAACAAAAGAGGCTTTTCAATAACACAAGGGATAGAAGAAGGGTAACAGTTCTTTCGAACATACATCAAGAGACAAAAGGTTGTGTGATAGTGGGACTTGGGGCATGTACATGACAATCATGTTTGGGTAAGAAGAAAACCATTGGCGGGCAGTCATATTTCAAATCAAAATGGGCGTACACTTGCTTGTGTGAGCCTCAGTCTAACCTGAAAGAATTCTTGTACCGTGGGCACTGCCTAAGGTAGTTTCCGTCTACCCAAATACAAGCTATTGTATACATTTTTTATAGATCTAGAGATTTATAATTACATGCACACTGTGAATTTCTGTAACCCTGTAAAACTTCCTACAGGTTGACATTTTAAATTTTTGACATTTTCATACTTCCGTCAAAATTGATTTTGTGTATTGACTTTCATGTTACACAATTCCTTACTTCATGAAAAGTATCGTCATCTACATTGTGTGTTTGGCAATCTGACTGAATGCACTTCAAAATCTGATCAACCCCATCTTCAATTCAGTAGAAAAATATTCTATACATGCACCTACTCATCATTGCATCAAAGATTAATGACAAGCAATCGTAGAACACAGTAGTATGATACCAATGTCAATGTCAAAGTGATAGACTTACATCACGTTGTTTCAGTGCTGCATCCCTCTCCTTCTTAATCTGATTAAAGAAAAAACATATTTGACTTCAACTTTAGAAGAGCGTGGATGATATCTCAAGACACATGTACTTCAAAACATGATTTTCAGTATTGATGCTATCTGTCACAATAAAAACATAATAACACGAATATGATTATGACATCAGTTATTTCCATGTTCAGCCAATAATCAGGTTGCTAAATGTGTCTTTTAACTTCAACTTCAAGATACATGATTTTTTTATCTTTATGCTTATAGATGATCTGAGACTAGTTATTTTCAAGTGACAATATTGCACAAACATGTAGTTCATATAGAGAGAACTAAACTCAAAAGCTTAAAAAGTATATCATATTATATATTATACATTAAAACTTACCCCTTCCACGTACTCCCTCATTATCCTCAACTCCTCATCCTTCCTCCCTAGAGCAGCCTGAGACTCACAATCCTTCCTCCTTATTAAAGCCTGAGTCTCCTCATCCTTCCTCCCTAGAGCAGCCTCCATCTCATCAAGTACCTAAAATAATTGATATACATGACACATGACAATAAACTAAGCATCGTTCAATTACTTAGTTTCATACTAAATTAAAGTTTACTTGGAAAGCTACATTGTATAATATAATTATAACATTCTCCATGCTTTGATCTTTATTTTTACCAACCTTTGGTTGCTTGCCAATTAGTTTCTTTGTTGGTTACCAGTATGTCTATATTTTGGTAGATGGAGGACTCAATAATAATTATTACACATAATGACCGTACATAATAAATGCACTCAATGAAACAAATGGTTTCTTATTAAATGCACAAGCTCTTCTGTGTGATTGATAAGAAAGCTAGGACATGCCATCTATGATCTGATGTCTGTGACATTCCACAGCAGGAGTCAAGATTCAATGCTGCAACTGACACTATGAAGTCTAATCATTACATGACATGTATTTGCAAAAGACTTTCTCTCTGAAACACAACACAGAAATAATAGCTACAGTGGTGCTACATGTATGAGACAAAATTAAAGCACAAATTGTCATACATAATCCAGTAAGGATAAGGTTTTCAACAATTTTCATACAAAGTGTGCTCACCTCTTTATGGAGAGCTTCTGAATCAGTGATATTTTTTCTCAGCAGCTTTACCGCATCATTGGCTTTCTTAAACTATTAGAAAACAAATCAGATTTGTTGATAAGTGCTCACATCTAAAAAGGCACATGGCAAATGTATATTCAACTTTGTGCAAATATCTCATACATATCAATGACTCTGCTAAGGAATGCCACAGATTAAGATGATAACACATTTATTTAATAATATCTTCTGTAACTAGTACCTTATGTGTACATGTGTTGTGTAATTTCTTTCAATGGGGTAGTATTTTTAAAAACACTCACAACAAGAGTTCCACGATCTCATACCTTCGCCAAATGATGTTAACCCTTGCGGTTGACGAATTATACAATTTTAATCATTGGCTTTGTAAATAAGAGCCTCATTTGCATGGATGATATCAGTTGATCATATTCTCCACCCAATGACAGTCTTATCTTAACAAAAAGGCTATTATAGCACTTCCTCATAAATTATGCAAAGGAGGTCATGATTTGCATAAATTATGTTTATTAATGTTCACCTTCACTTAACTTCCAAATGTGGTAAGTACGAAATTTCCAGAAGTTACAACTATGAAATTATAAAAAAAAACCATTAATTATGCAAATTAGGTCTTCATTTGCATAATCTATATCCTCAGATGTTTTACCGTTCTCAGTTACATGTCACAAGTGTTTCATAGTACTATTATTGAACAAAGCAGATTTATAGAATGTCCTCATTAATTATGCAAATTTGCTCCTGATTTGCATAATTGCCATCTGATTATGTCAAGCATCACTTCAGCTACCTGCATACCAAAAATCGTGACAATCCGTCAACCAGTTCTTGAGTTATCCTCCTTCGAAATTTTTTCAACAAATGCTCCTGCAGTTCCAGAGCAAGCCGCTAGGGAACTCAAACTCATGTCACTTCTTCCCTAGCCCAAGAGTTATCTGTCATTCAAAATTCGTCACCCTAGCATGTCCAGATCATGAGATATCAAAACCGGAAGTTCTGCTGCAGTACCTAGGAAAGCCGCCAGGGGGCCCAAAATCTAATCATTTCTAGCTCTCATGAAGACCTACCCACATACCAAGTTTCATGACAATGCATATTAATCTTCTTGAGTTATGCTGTTCACAGACAGACGGACAGACGGACAAACAGACAAACACTACTGAAAACATAACCTTCTTGGCGAAGGTAATAACTTTATAAAAACATAGGGGAGCCGGCTTTGTAGGTTCATAATAAAATGCCTATTATAGTAAATGTATATTTATAATAATATAATATTACGTCACAAATATTAATCTTGTGAGACTGCCAATTTAATCTACAATTTAATCAATAGGCAATATTACTACATACCCCATTGAGTCTTTCTTCACTGGCTACAGCATGCTGTGCCTGATACAGCAAAGCCCTCTCCAGAATTTCGGTCTATGAAAAACAAGACAATTGAAGTTAGACAAACATATATGCATGCAGATAGCACATATTTAAACTTCCTGCTTCATGCTTTTAGCAATTTGCCCGAATGCCTCCTTCTTTCTGTACGTTTCCATTTTACTCCGAATTCTATCGCAATTCCGCAACCCAATAAAACATCGCATTTTGGCGCTGCTCCTGAGTGAGTTACTGCTGTTTACATCCGCCAAGCTTTATCATAAATAGCAAACAATCAGTACCAAAAATCCAAAGAAACAGCAAGGAGAACTTGACATGTGCTGATAATCAGAACAGATACAAACGGATGAGTGTGGGTTCGGGCTAGAGCGGGAAAGGAGAAATTTACACAGTAAAGGGCTGCGCGCGACACAGGTCTGTTTACACGCTGCTGGGCCATGACGCAGACTGCCTGATGAGTGTCATGACGCACTTGTGGCACCTCTTAGATGCGCAACAGAAAAAAATGATGCACGGCGATCATCTTGACACGCCTAACTTTAAATTTTTTTTCTTCACTTATTTGCATTGACTATATCAATAGTATGTGCTTATAAACCTGCATTTCTCCTCTGGTCTTTTAGTGTCACTGACAAAAGGTAGTGGATGCTACCTGAAACGTCTGACCGTTTCCAAAATCATATCAAGTTGGAGTAACTGTTTTTTGGCATAGCTTATACCTTTTTTTTTTAACCTTCACGTAGTTGTATAAATGATAACACAGTTTTGCAATTTATTTTCTGACATCTAATTTTCTTGTTTTAACAATACCTTACCTCAATACAGATGTTCTTTATTTTCTCTTCACTGGGTGAAACGTCCGACATCTGAAACAAAAGCAAACATATTTTTGTAGCTCCTGTCCGAGCTTTTGTAGCTCCTGTCCGAGCAGTCGTTCCATATCAGATCTCTTAAAATAGGTAGATAGAAATAGAACTAGAAAGGCCAATATTTGCTTTGGAGCAAATACAGCGATGGATTCACCACATTTTACGACATGGCAGTGAAAGAATGGGAAACACAAGGGAAAACAATGATTTACATTGATATAACTATAATATGAAGTAAAATACAACTAAAACAACAGTTGGATAGCTATTCCCTACTTTATTGGTTAGGATTTTTAATTGCATAATGCAAACTGTTGATTTTCAAAATAAAAAAAAAACGTCCATGCCCGGCATTCCAATGCTGGAGCAGGAAAGCTTGAAATACCTACCAAAACACTTGAATACAGACATACTGTGAGTATGGAAATGCTTCTGTGCAGGTGTTAATCAAGTTAAATCCCAACAGCCAATCAGCAAGAAGTATAGAGGAAAGCTGCATGCCTATTGGTTGATGCCCTGCATTCCATTGTGATGACTCATGCCCAAACGTGGTAAACAAGGCACACTAACACAGTAATACATTTGCTATAACACAGCCAAAAAACTCAAATAAAACCATTCTAAAAGCCTGTATCACAATAATTTAAAAACGCCTAGGGGTATTTGCCCACTGTACCTCCATACCAAATTTCAGGACCTTGGGCCCTAAAATGAAGAAGCTGAATCCATTTAAAAAATGGCAGGAGGAGAAGGAGGAGGAGAAGAAGAAGAAACATCAGAAAAAGCAATATGGTTTCACCACACACGAAGTGGTGTGGTGAACCCATAAATACATGTATGTGAATAGAAACAAGTGTCCATACTCAATTCTCCGTGAAGTTTTATATTTTGTAAATACATGTACACAATGATCAACAACATGACAATCTAAACAGATGAACAAAGTCATCAAAGTTTCAATTGCTACATACTAGTATTATTTATTTGACAAGGTATCCTAGAAGGTGCAAACCATATAAAGTCACAATCCCGACATATACTCGCAAATGATTTATACACAGCAACCACTTTCAGAACCTCGCCTATCACATATAGCTACTTAAGCTATAAAAATAGGGGTGTTTCTGAAATTAAATTGCATTTACTTCTACATTGTATATGAAAACTGCTACGGTAAAGAAAAATTATATGCACCATCACGGACATAATGGCACACCGCGTGCCCAATTACAAAAAAATACACCGGACACAACCATATTTTTTTGCTGCAAACACATATATAAAATCAGCGATACATAAACAATGGGAGGCGCATGACTAGCTGGTTTCAATCACTGACCCACCCTAGCATCTGCTTGAGCAAAACGACCCCCCTCCCCACAAACACTATTCAAAACAACAGGTTTTTGTCGGCCATTCCAATCATTGTAGGGGTGCAACTGAAATATTACATTGACCACGAACACAGCTACCGTAAAAATAAAAACTTGTGTATCATCACGGACATGCCTGCAGACAAGCATGAAATTACATGCCGAAATTAAACAAAGGGAACCGTGTGTTTTAGCTGCGAGCACAAAAAAACGTCTGGCAACAATACTGGTATACCTGAAAAAAGTTCAGCACTGGATTTCTAGAGCTGAACGGCTCTGTTCCATAGCTGAACATTGTCTCAGCTCTCGGTTTCCAGTGCTGAACTCTCAGCACTCCAGTGCTGAACGCGTGGCAGCGCCAGTTCAAAGGTCGCTCAGCACTGGGCCCCCAGTGCTGAAACCGCCGTCAGCACTGGAACCGAGTGCTCATATACAAAAGTAACGCCCTTCGCACTGGATTTACCAGCGCTGGGGAAGAATTCAGCACTGGAACGCTCCTCGAACCAGTGCTGACGTCTTTCCCGGCACTGGATTGTCCCAGTGCTGAGAGGTAGGAAATCAGTGCCGAATCACTTGTATTCCTGCCACTAAAATTAAACTATTAATGGGAGGGGTCCTAATTCCGACCTATGTTCCATGCAAACGCACATACCTTTGTTAATAGTTTGAACTTTATCTGACCAAAAACTCGCGCAAGATGAGCTATAATATTGACAGATAAAGATCACAACGATTATAGCTGCACAGCTGTGTATTTCACTTCAGTGTAGCGCCTTGCACCCAAGCGTAATGGTTCACGAAACGTACGGGAGGTTTTTGGTCATTTTGCCAGTAGAACGTTCTATCGCAATAGGGGTGCCCTAATTCCGACCTAGTGTTTAACACAGGTCGATCTGAGAAGAGAGTTTAGAAATTATGATACACAAATTATGACTTAAACAATCTACAACTGTTTTTCTGTCCCAAACAAGTCCTCTTTTTACGATTACGCAACTTGCTCCAAAGCGGCTGTTTCAAAAGCAAAACCTGCATTTTTGACACGCTCGTCAACCCCCGAACAAGCGTCGAACTTAAACAGATTTTTCACTCGTCTGTTGTCGGCGCGTACGAACTAAAACAAACTTTGTGAGATAACCGTTATCAACACAGACACTTTGTCCATTCTTGTGGTTATTTTTAGGCACGTGCTCCCATGCATAACGCCACAACAAGGATTTTTCTAACTAGTACGGAATTAGGGATAGGTCGGAATTAGGGCACCCCCCGTTAACGTTATTAAACCTTACTCTGGTACCCAAGCAACTGCATGTGGTTTTGGAAACGTCAATTACAAGAAACTAAAATAGCACCTTTGTGATTATTTTCGTTCATTTTCCCTAAAAACAGCGACGTTGGAGACGAAAATGATTGATCGAGCGGCGCCTGTTGTTCAGAAAATGTAGTGTGACAGAATTAGAGACTTTTCAGTTTTAAGTATAATCATAACTCACAGCTCATCAATGCCTCAGTGACGATGGCCTCAGCACTCGGTTTCCAGCTTTCTCAGCTCTGGATGGCACAGAACGGCTCTATTCCAGGGCTGAAGCCGCCTCAGCACTGGAATTCCAGTGTTGAGAAAGTCTCAGCTCTGGATTTCCAGTGCTGAGTGCCACTTCAGCTCTGGTGCTCCAGTGCTGAGAAAGGAGGGCGTTAAACTTTATTAATTTGTGTATTTGCCTCGCTATGCACCACATGCGGAACCCCCCTCTGCCGCGCGCTGATAGTGATTGCGCAAACCCCCTAGGTCCGCTGCCCGTCCCTAGGGGTTTTTGCCTTAGGTGATCGAGACATTTAATAAGTAACGTTACGGTTTATACTACTATCGGTCGTCTTTCAGGTATATAGGTTCATAAAATGACTTGAAGTACAAGTCCTTTCAGCAAGGAAAAAAAGGCCAAACCGAACGATCTACATGGGGGGCTTGTCGTGGGTGTGTAAACAACGGACGATGGAACAAAAATGCCGCACGGCCAGGCCCCTTCTCGGATGTCCCTAGCCTCTGGACATTTTGTTATTTTACACTTGCATTGTGATGCCATTACGATGTGGCAGTTCCTTAGTACTTGGCATCATTCGTATGTAACGTGATTTAATCAAAGTGCTGAACTTTAAAGGTAACTTTTCGCAACATTCACAACAAAAACAAAACAACCGGGCCCATCCACTAGTAATAGTATTAGTGCAGGACTTGTGCCAAAATCACCTCCTCAGTAACTGTCTCCGAGGAAAATAAGTATGCCAATAACGAGTAAAATACCTTGTGTCACTGTTGCACGCGATGAAAAGCAAAGAGAGTACTGGCAGAGACGACAACTGCTCAATCTAAACTGGTAGCGCGGCTACGGTACGGAGCGCTTGCGGATACGGGGCCTGTGCGGGACCGTGGCGTCAAATTATGACGTCAAATTATGACCCACCATACCCACAATGCTCTGCTATTTCCGGTAAAATAGCGGGTAGCGTCAAAAGTACCATGGTGATACTGGAAATTGATTCAGGAAGCTTAACAGTATCAATTTTAGCCCGGGTACCATCCTATTTGTACCCCGGCGCACCCATACCCCCTAAGAAATAGTCTGGAGACGGTTCGATCTATTTGGTTTGATAATAATGTCAAATATAACTATTGGTGCGACGGCTAAAAAACACTGCGGCTCCAGCGTTTTCTAAAATCTAAGTTTGTTCCATGTGGAGATCCTGCTATGTTCCATGCAAACGTACATACATTTGGTAATAGTTTATCTGACCAAAAACCCGCGCAACATGAGATATAATATTGACAGATAAATATCACAACGATTAAAGCTGCACAGCTGTGTATTTCACTTCAGCACATTTTAATATGATTTAATGACTGTTTTTACAACACGGAATGATGATCAGGATTTTATTTCACTGTCTAAAGCTTTTATTCACGCAATTCAGCCTTGTGGCTGCCTAGTGATGGAGCTGTATTGTGATTTGTGTTTGTGTTTGAAATAAACCAATGATTATTACTTCAGTGTAGCGCCTTGCATCCAAGAGTAATGGTTCACGAAACAGGTTTTTGGCCTTACCGCAATAGGGCTAGGGGTGCCCTAATTCCGACCAACACAGGTCGATCTGAGAAGAGAGTTTAGAAATTATAACACACAAATTATGACTAAAACAATCTACAACTGTTTTTCTGTCCCAAACAAGTCCTCTTTTTACGATTACAGCCACTTGCTCCAAAGCAGCTGTTTGAAAAGCAAAACCTGCATTTTTGACACGCTCGTCAACCCGCGAACAAGCTAGCGTCGAATTCAAACAGATTTTCACTCGTCTGTTGTCGGAGCGTACGAACTAACACAAACTTTGTGAGATTACTAATAGCCGAACACAAAAAAATTGTCTATTCTTGTTGTTATATTTATAGACACATGCTCCCATGCATAACGCCGCAACACTGAGTAAAGCAAACTAGTAAGGAATTAGGGATAGGTCGGAATTAGGGCACCCCCGTTGATAGTAACGAAATTTTAATAAATAATAACCCTCAGTTTACACATTGGTAGTTTCTCAGCTTAATGATTCTTATCTCGTGCATTCCTGTCCCCGACCACTGACGTTTTCGAAAAATACGAAGACAACATATTTAAGTTTATATTGGGCGATCGTATGGCGGCGCCCGAATTACGTGTTATTTTATTAAAAGAAAAACGAATTTAGACCAAACCATTTTTTTAAATCTAACGTTAAGCATAACTTTAGCATCCAGGATGCTTTGTAGGGTTGGTGAAAAATCCAGTCCTGTGCAGTGCAGTCCTGGTTACCTTTTTGTTCAAAGTTATTGATTTTTAAATGTCTCCGTTTTCACTAAAAAAAACTAGGTTTCCGTGTAAATTTCCAGTCATCAAGCTAAAACATCGCTTCATATATAGTATAAAATGGCTGCCTCCGCGCAAGTTAGAAACACAGGAACTTAAAAAGTACACTGTGAAATCTGCCTCTTTCCGGCATTGTCCGGAGAGACAGTAGGCCGGGCGCCGGACGCTGGACCTCCGGCGCGTCTTGTGAAGAAAGCAAGCTGGACCGGTACCCCCTCCAATCCTCTTGCTAACTTGAACAGCTGAATGATGAATGATGGGGGATGGCACAGCGTATTTAGTTAAGTTATATCTAATTTGCCCCAAACATGCCTGCTCTGTATTGTTTGTTTGTGTACATCTGTGGTATTTTTATGTAGTATTATATCTTTGTTGATTAATCATTTTCTGTTCGATCGATGGCGGTGCACGTGCTTATACAAGTGTTAAACTGAGTGTTAAACTGAGTGTATCGCCATCGCAGTCTTGTCTTTTCTTTCATGTGTTTCAGTAAATAAAAGAAAAATGCATGTATGCTCTGTTGTGCAATAAAGCTTTGTTCTCTCTCTTAAGCCAGAAAAAGAAAAGCGTCTATGAAATTTGTCCCTCTGTTTTCGGAGACAACTGACATACTAAAACTGTCAAGAAAAAAGGCCTTGCGAAGGGCACACATTGCTTTGGGACCAGGCTCCTCAGGGCTAGCGCTGGATCAGACCTCAGCACGCGGCTAGCTACATTTGGGGTGGGGGTAGCCGAAGCCTTGCCTCCACACATCGGATGGGGCGCTCGAATATATTCAAAGGAAAGGTAACGTTAGCTCTGTTCCATATAGATCTAGCTGCATGCACATGTAAGGTCATTTCAGCCGCTTCTGAGGCCAGCCGAGACCGCTTTCGCTTTTGTAACACCTTTGATTATTGTGCTGTAGTGCGTACATAAATCGCAAGGTGGCGCTGCTACACTGTGACCGTTCTTTGTGGGGGAGGGCGAGCAGTACAAAATATTCCGTCTTCCAAGGAGGACTGCTTCAATGTCCAAACTTCCCAGATTGCTACCATACAGCAGACATCTGTCGGTAAGCCTAAAATCGTCACCTAGGCTTCCCGGCGTTGTTGTAGGGACCGCGAGGCAACTGTCGTGCTTTGTTGTACGCTCTGCCGGGCGGTGGAGTACAATGTCCGAGACAGCGGGCAGCGACAAGGGGAGGAGGGACAACAGACATGCGGGGGACGGGCAGGGCAGCCCGGTGGCCCAGGTCAGGCACTACCCGGGGACACACAGGAGCTCACCCGGGGAGGAGGGGCTCAAAGCACGAAGTAAGTCTCTAATCTTCACGTTTGCGTTGTTGAAATGAAACTAAGAACACCACATCCCTACCTGTGCAGTTTATAAGTTATGACGAGTCATATTTTCATATTTTCTAACGTAACGTCACAACATGTACAATGTATGATCGCAACATTCGCTGAGGTCAGAGAAAGGAAAATTTAAGAAATAACAGTATAGCCGTTCCCAGATCGATATAATATTATGAAGGACGTATAACAAATGTACATTTGACACCTACACCTGCATGTTGCAATGTACAATGATACAGGTACAAAGGTATTCTCATGTTTACCATCAGACAATATTATTTCACTACAGGTTAACTGAGGTCTCCAAACCTTTTAAGTTTAAGACTCATTGAAGACTATATCATAATATAATAGGCTTTAAAATGCATACATTGGATTTTACGAACAGTTTCATTTGCCATGAGTTCGCAATCAACTAGATAGTCATGAAAATATGATATTATATTTGTATAGAATGTGAAAACATTAACGTTATCTCTTATAGAATGTTCAACTTGGCAGAATGTAACGTTACAGCAGCTGCACACATAAGCCAGATTTTAAAAATTCTTTTCAATACGTCAGAATCTTTCCCATTGCAAACGATATCTTTTCTGACACAACAGTCCAAAACTATAGACGGGAATATGCTGAAGTGCTTTGCATGATAAAAATGAAATAATACACTAGAAAGGTAACATGTACAAAGCAAATGCATAATGTTTACCTTCGCATTTGGTCTGCTCTGTTAATACTTACTCAAATACATTAATAATATATATGGTCAGACAGGAGTATAAATCCCTCCTACTATAAAATTGCAACATTATGTAACCCAACACCAGTTACCATGGTGACAGACGTCAACAAATCATGTCATTGGCCAGGTCAGAGGTCAGTGTTTGGAACGGAAGAAGAAGAAATGTAGCAGAAACAATATGTTTTCCTTTGGTAAACATAATTAACAGTTTTCGTGCAGGTGCAACTTACATCTGCCAGTGTGCTATCTCACATTAGGTTGTGTATCTAGAGTCAATATTACCACTCATGAACACTGTTTGTTTCAGAACGATTCCTGGAGATATCCTTGGAGGAGAAGAGACTAGTGTACAAGTGTCGCGACAACTACAAAACCTTAAACGACGTCCCCACCTGGCCACAGTATAGGAAAGAACACAATATAGGTAATATTATTACCTTCGCCAAGAAGGTTATGTTTTCAGTAGCGTTTGTCTGTCTGTCCGTTTGTCTGTCTGTTTGTCCGTTTGTCTGTTTGTCTGTGAACAGCATAACTCAAGATGCTTAATATGCATTGTCATGAAACTTGGTAGGTGGGTAGGTCTTGATGAGATGTACAAATGATTAGATTTTGGATCCCCTGACGGCTTTTGTTGGTACTGCAGCAGAACTTCCAGTTTTGATATCTCGCGATCTGGACATGCTAGGGTACATGTATCTGGAAATTAAAGGTAGGCTGGGGCCCCATACTGGGCTACCTTGCAAGGCTACCAAAGTGTGTACAGGGGGGTTTCAGAATGATTTTGATTGCTCTATTCTGACGACAATTTCATGTGGTTTGCTCCTCCTCCAGGCCTACGGATTAAGCCCAAAGCTGACCCCAATGAGAAGTTTAATGAGAAGGTGTCTCTCTGGCGTGGTGACATCACCCAGCTGGAGATAGATGCTATCGCCAATGCAGGTACGTATTAACCAAGAAATTATTCAACCTCCTTGGTATCAAAGATTCTTCAGTCATTGTTTAAGGTGCCTTAGAATGCAGTTTCAGGGCTTGAAAACTGTGTCATCATGTCTAATTTGCATACAGTGCATACACTGACAAGGTAATATGCATGTTTTGATGACATTTTGTAAATCAATGTTTACGCTTCCTATTTTTGTTGTTTACAGCCAATGAAAGCCTACTAGGAGGTGGAGGAGGTAAGTTACTCGTCTGATGTGAAAATAATCATATGATATCTTGAAAGTTCATCAGTGTTGGTAGATTTTGATGCAGGTGTAAACTGTCATTTCCAACACAAGATATTGGAGTTTTTTTCGACTGTACTACTCTAGTCTTTGTCAAGTAGTGAGCAATCCACCGCTTCTGTGCCACAGACTTTCTGCAACTTATGATCCACTGTTCGCCGGGTCACATGTGTTTATAATCCGCAAAACGTGATGTCATAGAAGCAGTTGATTACTCATGCCTTGACAGAGACTGGAGTTGTACAGTTGAAAATTTGGGTATTACAAAAGTCTAATTTCTTGCGACAGAAATTACAGTTTAAACCTGCTTCATAATGATGATAATTATGTTTTTGTCTGATGCCTCAGCATAAAATATAATTGGGAAAATAACATTTCATCTTGTAGTGTTTTCTTTACACATAATCTGTTGTGCTATATTATGATGTTCCGTGACTGATACCCATCCCCCCCCTGTCCAGTTGATGGTGCGATCCACAGTGCTGCAGGCCCCACACTAGTCAAGGAGACCTCCACTCTGGGGGGCTGTGAGACGGGCCACGCTAAGTTGTCAGGGGGGCACAGACTACCAGCCAAATGTAGGATATCTGAGCAAGCATCTTCATTAAATACCAAAGTTGTTTTCCATTGTTTTTTGTACTTTAAAGATAAATACCAAATATGTAGCTTACAGGTAAAAATTGCATATTTCTGATACCAACCTGCACCTAACCTGTACTGGTCCATGTACTAGTACTGGGTACATGTACTACTATAATACATGTAGTTGTATGTGCATGGGTTGCATTTACTGTTGCCATTTATGAAGTATATATGTGCAAAAAAATGATGGCATTATGGTTTCTAAACAGTTTTTACTACGATCCTAACTTCCTAAATTCTGAGTGATGCAGGTAGTTTTCAAACTTACCTTCACTGGTGCGGAAAAATAGATCTTGAGCCCTGGGCAGGTATACAACGCTTTTGATACAGCATGCCCATATCAAGGATCGAACTTTAGCCATTGAAATGTAATCATTCAATGCTAACTCCCCCCACAGATGTACTACATGCCGTTGGACCCATAGGACAGAAACCAGACAAGTTGGAGGGATGTTATAAGGACTGCATGGCTCTGGCAAAGGAACACGGACTCAGATCTGTGGTAGGTCACTGCAGTAACACTTTGTGGCTGCCAATTTGACCATTGTTAATGGGTTTGTGCTTTTTTCAAAGATAACTGGTAATGAGAAATACTGTAGATACATGTAAAAATTTAATATAGAATTTACAACATGGTGTATTCTGTATCACCCAAGGTCCGATCCATATTGTATTTTATTTATGTCATGTCCACCTGAGAAAACACACATTGTAATGCAAAACGTGAAAGAAATTATAAAATTTGGTGTCCCTAAACAAAAAATTGAATCCAATATTCGAATTTGGAAGGTGGCACATGTCATGGAACTGAAATGATTTTAAAGTACTTTTGAAGCCTGACTGATAACTGTTAGAAACCCGTGTGATATGGCTAGTTATCACATGGGCCGGAACGCCCGTATTGTATGTTATCACGGCCTAGGTACTAAAATGACCCAATACTTGTTTGACATCACTGACGGTAACTAGATATTATTCCAATGCTATCAAATTGCTGTATATTACTTCTTCATATGCAATCTCCATTGCATCAGTTGCTATGTAATACATGTTTTGATATTGATATCTCATGTCTAATCTTTAGGCATTCCCCTGCATTTCTACTGGTATATTTGGTAAGAAATGTTTCCTTTTCAATAACCTTGCTTCATTTGTTGAGTATTATTATTCACTTTGAAGTTTGCCATTGTACAGAAATTATGATATTTTTTTCCCTCTTTCATCGTATTTTTCTCTCATTTTAGGTTACCCTAACTATCCAGCTGGGCAGGTTGCTATTGGTTACATCAGGAAATGGTTGGAGACGGGAGACAATGCAGATCACGTAAGGCTGCAGTTCATCAGTATTCAGACAGGAGGCATTGTTAACCTGTAGCATGTCTGCCTGTTAAAGTCTTCAGAATATTGAAAGCAATGGGTTTGTTGTTTACTATGTCACCCGAAGAGCATTCAAAGAACTTTGTGCTGCGATTGTAACAAAATTTGATGTAAATCAATTTCTTCTCAGCAAGCACAGTGGGTGTACGGAAAGTGTGGAACAGAACAAAATGGGATGAAATGGAACGAAATATGAAGCAAAATGAAACACTGTGGAACGTGAATACCAGCACAAAATACAAGGAAACAGAATGTTCCATTTCAGTCCATTTTGCATGTTCTGTACGCCGATGTACTCGTAAAATTTTGGATGAGGAAGCAATGACAAGATACGTTCCTCCGCAGATGGACCGTGTGATCTTCTGTGTGTTCCTTGAGAAGGATGTGCAGGTGTACGAGGAGCTTCTGCCGGCGTTCTTCCCAACAGAAGATGACGTCAAGGGAGACAAGGAAGCATCAGGAGAGACAGGTCTGAATATTAATGATATTTTTTATATTTACCAGTTTCAAGAAGAAAAACAGTGTTTTTTGCTTTGTTATGAATTTCTTCTAAGAATCTTCCAAACAAAGAAGGCCAGTGACTTGGAAGAGACTGGATTGCATTAATGTAACAAGTGGCAGGACAGACCTCCAGGGGCTGGTCACCATATATGGTGTTGGAATAAATTATGTAGCAAGCTGGCAGGACAAGCTCCAGGGGCTGGTCCTCATATACACATATGAACATGTTTTAGCACTGAGAGACTTTCAACCTCCTTGGTTTCAGTCAGACAATAACAGAGCAGTAGTTTTGTTGGCTAGACCATGTGATGGTAAATATTGTGTATTTGCTTTGCTAATATTACTTTCAAGTTTTCGTAATGACTTTGAGATGAGATGACTTGTAATATGTAAGTTGGTATGTTGATGACAATTGAACAGATACATTGATTATCTCAGTCAGTGGTTACTCTAATAACAGTTTTTACTTCCGTAACCCTGCTTTTTCAGGTTGCTTGCTGTGGTTGACCCACCCTGCTAATATATGGTTGCACCCTACTGATATGTGGTTGCTTTCCTTCCAGTCAGTTATTCCTATAATGAGAGTGTATAATATATTTCTGGTAACATGCTTGTATGATACCTGCCTTGATAGGTACATGTACATGTATGGTAATATATGGACACATTCTAATAACATGCAACAATCTCTAACCCAGAATTTCACCTTGAATTTCAGCTTCTTGTAAGGCTTATGAAGAAATAAGACTGTCAGTGTTTCTGTTAGTGTTTTGCCTCAAAACTAACCTCATTATGCATGTGAAATCTGCCAGATGTACACATGGAGGTTGCAGCTGCAGCTGTAGAAAGTAAAGATACACAAGGTGAGGACCAAAGACCTGCAGCTGCTGAGAAGCCATCAGATACTGAAGGTCAGCATGGCATAAGGAATCATGAATATTTGTACTCTCTAACCCCCTGTGTAACCTCCCCTTTCCTCAGGTGTACAGAAGTGCGAAATGGTTTGAAATGGTATGAAATGGAACGAAATAGAACTTTCTGTACACCGCTTTTCCTCTAATATGTACCTTTCTGTCTTGCCAGGTACAGTTGATTAACGTCCTACTCTTCTGTCCACTGTACTTATTGTCTTGTCTGTTGTTTATCTCTCACCTTCCAGCTTAATTCTACCAGAGTTTTGGAGAGGTAGGAATCAGTGTAACTTCAGTGTTGCTGAACTATCTTTGAATTGTTCTCATACCTTTCTCATGCCCTTTCAGCTTAATATATAAATGATCTCTACAACTGCATTGTTTCCAGTGTGCATGGTTGATGAAAGAGTGAGTTCTTGAAGAAGAGATATGCCAAAAAGCAGTTACTAGTACTCGAGAAACTGGATATGATTGTGGAAAAAATCATATCCAATCCGGTGATTTTCCAAAATCAGATCCAGTTGCTTGAGTAACTGCGTTTTGGCATACCTTATTACCTGGATGTCTAACCTCCATCGACGCTTGAAGAAAAGACTGTCTATTCTACCACAGCCTGTGAATTCAGTAACCAGCTCACTGCACTACTGTACATGTACTTCCTCCTGCTACTTACATACATGTGTTCTTTACAGTAACTGTGTAAATCTTGAGAGATTGCTGTGTGCATGTGCAGGTGCCCTATAACTGAGAGAAGTTACTGCAATTAATGGCAGTGTGTGTGCTGAAACTTTGACCAGCACATGGGTACAAAAAGTCTTAGATTATTGCAATGCTGCACAATCAAATGGCAACAGTCTGTCTTTAAGTTAATAACTAATGTATTGGCCTATGCATGACTTGATTCTGGAGATGAGTGAGTAAAGGCCCATAAGTTGGGAACAATTTAGTTATCGCTGAGCATGGGCCTTATTTTCCTTGACTTCCAATTGTGTGTATTTCTAAATCTTTTAAAAAGTTTTGTTATAAACAAATTACTTAGTACTTTTGTGTTTTTTAGTTGTTGCCTGTAGTTCTTGTCAACCATTTACAAGCAGTTATTTTCATAAGTTTATTGTAAATCTATAATTCATTAACATTCTGTGGTATATTTTTCTGTAAATGACACACTGTGAAGTCTAAGGCTGTCACTATTGAGAAACCAAGGTTTTTATGCTCACTGAGTTCACCAACTGTTAGTCCTAACAAGACCAGGCAATTTTGAATTAGTTTTACCTGCACTACAGTTTTTTCTTTACTTTCAATCTCCTTAGTACATGTAGCACCATTCTTAGTTTTACTAAGTTCACTTTTGCACTTTTCAGAAGCCAAGGAGACGGCAGCAGAGGAGGAACCAAAGAAGGGCAGCAGTGAGGGGGTCAAATCTGAGGACACGGCTCCTGAACCCATGGTGGCCGAACCTGAGGAAGTCAAGACATCGGAGGAGGAGAAACAAGATTCCGAGTTGTCAGAAAAGTCAGAAGCAGCAGCGGCGGCAGCACCCTAGGATAAAAAGAATGTCTTCTCATTTCTTTGCTAGTCAGACAGCTATCTCATTTCAAAAGCTGGAGAAATTCACCAATATTCCCAATTAGGTGTGAATGTTTCAGAGAAAAGCTTTGGGTGCAATGAGCGTCATCAAGTTTAATATACATGTACATGTACGGTCAAACTTGTCTAAGGCAGCCACCCAGGGACCCTATACAGACAAGTGGACTTCTTAGACAAACCACATAAGATTACGAAGACAGATTTCAGAGTTCATGTCCTCTTATTGTAGATAGACTGTCCCCATGAACTAACGTGCAGATGACCCAGCCCCATTTTGGTCTCTAGTCACCTTGAAACCCGACTCAAACTAGCTATTTTAAATCATTTATCGCTAAAAATCAATATGGCAAAGTTCTACCAATTGTCTGCATATAGATTTGGAAACCAGGCTACCAGCAAAATTTGGTCCTCAAATTGCAGGAAATAGCATTTTTAAGTGTCAAGATTTTAAAGTTTTACCAATTTAAGTAGTTTGCCCCAAGATCCCCTTAGGATTGTCGCAATTGGCACTCAACATGATGTTGCATGAAACAAAATTGAGATGACGGAAAAAAATTTCAAGCTAGCTAGAACACTGATATGGCTACACGCTTGAAAATAACGTGGTCATCATAGGCAGGGATTGAGGCAAGTGGGGTCCCAAAATAGTGCTGGTCGCGGTCGTTTTAGACAAGTGGGCAGTTTAGGCAACCTGCTTAATGCTTGTGTCTATGGGAAAACATTTTGGGACCAAGGAAAAGCAGTATTCTTGGCCAGACCGTCGACTTATATACAGGTGGTTGCTTTGGCAAGTTTGACTGTATTATGTATTATGTAGGTGCGCAGGAAAGCTTTTGAGTCTTCCACATAGAGGCAGAGGGTACCGGTTGCTTGGGTATGAACTGTGATGCTGCTTCTTTCATTTTTGCAGCTTGCCTGTAAGAGTAGAGACTACAACTGGATCAATTGTGGCTTACCTCAGTGTTGTATTTGACTTGCTCAGATGGAATATAATCCTACCCTATGAAGCAAGTTTAAACTGCAATTTCCAATGCAAAAAATTGGACTTTCGACTGTACAACTCCAGTCTTTGTCAAGGAATGAGCAATCCACTGCCTCTGTGACGTCACGTTAGGCAGATGATACATGTGACTCGGTGAATCATACCAGTAAGTTGCAGAAAGTCTGTGGCGCCCCCCGTCTTTGTTGACGTCACAGAAGCAGTGTATTCCTCATTCCTTGACAATTAAAGACTGGAGTGTGTGCGTCAAAATCTTGAGTGAGTCCAATTTCTTTTGATGGAAAATACTATTCAAACTTGCTTCATAATGACTTCTATACCAGAACAGATGAACTGTCAAGTTAACAATCATCATCACACTGTTTTGAGGAGAAATCAAAAATTAAAAAAAACAATGCTAACTGGTATGCTGCAAAGCAATCGAGACTGTCAGTGCAACTACTGAGATTAGATAAACAGTAGTCTGTTTTAGATTTAAATTTTAGTATCACCTAAAGTACATGTAGGACATCAGGCACCCAAAGCTATTTCAGGGCAGTAAAACTGGATTTCAAAGTCTCAATTTATCTGTATTTTTTATGGCATGTAGTAAGTTGAATCAACCCTATCCCATAGCATATTTGTTTGTTTGTTTTGCATAAGCGGTAAACCGCCATTAGGCGTAACACACCAGTTTTGTACATGTACGTACATGTACAAGCTGCGTAAGACAGGACTGTGAGGTTTAAACCACTCACACCGGGAAGGTCCCCTACTCTTTTCGATGTGCGATGGGTTCTTTAACATGTGTGGGGTGTGGCTCTCCCCAAACACGGGACCTCCATTTAATGTCCTATCCGAGGGACGTCCCTAACCGAAACTAGGTACTCATTTCCACCTGAGTGAAGTGAGGAAAGTCCTGTAAAGTGCCTTTCCCAAGAGCACAAGATGGAAAACAGTTGCTTGTTTTGTATCGTAGCTATAGGTTGGTTCTAGCTATCTATTGGTAATACCAAAAAAAATCATAAAATAAATAAAAGTAGTTTGATTCCTCACATAGCTTGTTTTTTGGCTATTTCAAATTTTCAAGCATGAATTGAAGACAAAAATGTGCTATAAAGAAATGGCAGTAAATGTCAATATTAGACAAATTTGCTCATCGATCCAGGATATTTTTCGTTTTGCCGCCCTGAAATAGTATTGGATGCAATCAAACATATCCACAGCAAGATTCATTTGAATGTGAATTATCCAAATTGATGTGGGTAGCTTGAGACGAAATGTTCTCTTACAATCTTGCTTTTAACCACTGGCCTATGGTGAGTGCACATTCAATATTGTTCCAAATGCTGTCTTGGAGAGTAAAACAGCCTAGACTACTACTCTCCTAACACACACTGAATATTTTCTGTGAATATTTGTGTAATGTACTTCAGGAATCCCAAAGGGAGTTTATAGAACGTATTCAAGACTAATTAATGCATGATCAAGGTAGATGGTGTACATGTGTGTGTTGTAGTGGTATCTACTTCTAGTTGTCACTTAAGTTTTTGTTGAAACTTGAGATCTGTAATTACCGGTAGTCTAATCATTATGCCAGTATTTGTTGCGATGATTTTATCAGTGATTCTGGCTTGAAACTTCATCATGCATCTAATCTCCATATTGTATGTGTAAATCTAAGCCTGTCAGTGTGTATGTATTCAATTCATTAAAAGTGACCAACACTCATCAGTCATGTCTCTGTGGACTTTGTTTTGGGGTACAAGTAAGGCCACAGTAAGTAATTTTTATGGATGACATTTTACATTTTTTTTGCACGTACCACTGAAATCCTACTACTAGTATCAGGAACTAAATTTGTGTTTTCATGAAGTGTCTTGACGGTGAAGCGAAATGAATATTGAGAAAAAACGCAGACAGAAATAAGTGATATGCACAGTACTGTATTCTGTGTTTTTAGTCTGTTCATTGTGAGTTACAAAGTGGCATGTTATACAGTTGATGCTGCATAGAAGCATCTATCATATGAAACATTTTGTGGCTTGAGAAACAAGTGATACCAGAAACATTTGCACACTAAGTACATCTTAACAGGAAGGAATGCATTTTTCTTGAGTGAATCTTGTGTCAATCTTGAGTCAACCTTTTGCAATCAGATATTCTACTAGGGTTGGTGGAAAAAATGGTCCAGTCTGGAACGGTTGGGGTGGAAAAAGCAGTCTAGAATGGTTGAGCGACCAGACTGGACCGGTTTTTCCACCAACCATCTACTGACCAGTGTGCATGAGTCACAAACATCAGTATATGTACATGTACCAAAAAGTTCAGGCTAGAAGTTAATTATTTATGTACAGAAAAAAAGTGACAATCTTTTCAACGATGATGGGGACATTAATAAGCTGAGTAAGGAATGTCGAAAGTAGGGTAGACTTAATCGGAATGTACCTATTGAATGTCTGTTGAACGGAAAATAGGTTTTTTAATGAGGGCGTTGAATATTTTTGCTACTTTTTAGGTTTGAAACTCTATAGCTTTTTGCAGCAGCATAGATAATCCCTGCAAAAGTCTCATGTTTTAATCATTCTATGGATGATGAGCAAGAGAATTTTGTTCAGTTGTGTGCCAAAATCATCACAACCATGTAACATTAATAGACTGATTTTGCTATAGAAACAAAAATTCTCTTCTGTACTTCAGAGAAACATTATTATGATCAACTTTTAACCACATGATTTAGCTTGAACAATTTCATGCTGCTCATCTCTTGATTTGGAGTTTGGTATCTTGTCCTATCTTTGTTAGCCTCTAACAGGCTTCAGAAGAGGCTGCAAAGAGTAGAATTTGGCCAAATTAACATACCAGGGCAGTTGGTCTTCTGAAGGAGTACAGTTTGCAGAAGTAGCTGGAAAGAGTAGAAATTGGGCAAATAAACATACCAGGGGAGTTGCTTTTAGCGCTTAAGTAGTACAGTTTGCTGCTACTCTTTCCAAGTACCTCTGAAGCCTGGTGGAGGCTAATCATACCTCATACATGTAGTACTACCTTGAAAATGGTTCAGTTTGCTGTTCTCTATAATTCTTTGGTATTTGGATGTAAAAAAAAATTGCTACCTACATACCAGGATAAGTGCACATGGTGATTCATGAGAAGACAGACATTACATTCTATACCTGACTAACAGTTAAAGGCAAGGCTAGGAGCTATTGCACTAGCTACCAGTGTCCTGGACTTCCCAGGCAATACACATTAATTGCATTCCTGACAGTATCAATCACAATGCAAAACATTTCCGTCAAAATGCAAATAATTCAATGATCAAAAGCAAGAAACCCCAAAACAGAGACACGACATTGCACTAGTTAATGAGGAGTAGGAAAATACTAGTATCCATTTCTAACAGTATCTGAATGGTGTGTTAGTGACAGTATCTGTATTCACTTTTGAGTTTGAGTACCAATAAAGTTGCATCCAACAAAGTGTAAAACAGTGACAACCCTGTACGATGTGGGTGGTTCTAAGCAAGTTCAAACGTATTTTTTACACATGTAGGTGGCAGCATGATGGCAGAACGTACTGCACCTGTACAAAATCTGGAATGTAATGTGCACAGCGCTTCTTTAGAACATATCATTCAAGTTCATGTTGTGTATTTAAAATATGTTATCTGTGAGTTTGAAATGTGTTGGAACAGCAACAGAAAAAATTCTGATACAACATTGACCAGAAATCCAACAGAAAGCAATTGGTTTCTTGTGGGTGCAGTACATTCTGCCGACGTGCTTGGGTCATCTACAATGTACTTTTAAAATACATGGTGTGGTGAACTGCTGAATGTTGCTGGTAAAGAATACATGACAGCAACTATTTTTTCCTCTCATATATACTGCTGCGATATGTTTGTACTGGTAAATTTCTGAGCTTGTCTAATTCATTCCAAATACAGTACAGTCGACTACTAGCCTGGGTAAAATCCTGGTTATAGTGAGTGAAGAGACTCTTTTTACACAACCAAGTCTTTTATTCAGCCGACGTTTTAGTGACCGTCTGTCACCTTCCTCAGGGCAATTCTGACCGGTTCAAAACGCATTGCAGCACAGCAGTCAGAATTGGCAGATGGTCATCGAAATGCCAGCTGAATAAAAGACTTGGTTGTGTAAAAAAAGAGTCTCTTCACTCAGTGTCTTACCAACCTGATGAACCTATTGAGCTATTCACGCATCCTGGTTATAGTTTACGTCCGCTCCCACAGTCACTCCCACTATCAGTTGGTCGGTAGTGACTGTGGGAGCGGACAAAAACTAACCAGGATGGTACCCAGGCTAGTAGTCTACTAGAAAATGCTCATTTGGGCAGTTTGAATTTCATTCCATTATTGCTGTTAGATCATGGTTGTTGTACAAATTAGGGTTGAAAACATCTACAGACAACAGCAGCTCTGAGAAATTCCAACATAAAGAGAAGGATCCATGAGAAGGGTCAATGTAACAAACTTTGTAATTTAAAACACACAGGGCACAGCCCACAGTGTTATCATAGACATGACAGCTAGACTTGAAAACAAAATATTTTCCCTTTACTATCAACTTTTTGAAAACAAAATATTTTCCCCTTTGGCTTATAAACTACCAAGAGCAAATCAAATGTATGTGAATATTGTAGTAACATTACTGCTGTGGTAACATTGCTAAAAGAAATGAATCTGAGATATCTGACCTCGGAGAAGTATTTTAGGTTTTTGTGAGCTTCAAGATCACCCCAATTCCTGTGTCTGACCTTTTGACCTTAGCTACCATTCTGCCTGTCAATCTTCCCCCCCCCCACACACACACAAACGTGCTGTCAACCTACTCTGTCTGGACATACAGACACACAAACCCACAGCTTCATCCAGCCCAAATCAATACTTCCGCTCCTGAAAGTACTGTAAATCATAATTTCTTCACAGTACTTTTATATTTGCGCTTTTTGTGGTCACTTGTGACTTCTGTGCTGCAAATTTATCATTAATAGGCCACACCAATTTAATTGGTTGGTTCTCGGATTCGCCTCTTAATTTTGTCTGATTTGCAAAAAAAAACATTCTGGTTCTGAATCAACTAAAAAATGCTCATATTTAGCCCCCAACAGTTAAGGAAAGTCCTTTTCTTCCTACTTGTTACAGTTTTTTCATCTATCAATGCAGTGATTTGATTAAAAGTTCACAATTCATTGTTTAAATATTAACCCAGCCTTTTGTGTTGACTTCATGGCTCCTATCGTACCATTTGGAGCTATAATAGGATGCCTAGACCTGTTTTATTTTTTTATTTTCCCCCCCTGTCGCTTCATATTTTTTCTGAAAAAAATCCTAGAACCAACAAATTATATTGGTGTGGCATAAGCATGGTGAAAGTGAAAGCAAGACGGGGTGAAAGTGTTGACGTCTACTTCTTCCCGATGACCTCCTGTTTCAGCCTCTCGGCCAGAGTCAGCCTCATCTGGAGTTTCTTGCTGTCCTCTGTGCTGGGTGTCGGCTGGACTGACTCCATCTTTCCTGCAGCTACCTGCTCTGCCACCTGGAGGGGCAATACCACACCTCCAGATTATGCACATGTCAAACACCCACCTGGAACAGAAAATTATCACCACTACCCCCCTCCCCCACTACAAGAACAAGGGCTGTCTGAAGTGCTGAAAACAATGTTGTTGTGGAAATGACATCCAGTGACTTGTTTTGAGGAAACAATTATAGATTTTGAACAAACATGATTTAAAAGTAGCACCATGTTTTCAGGGCTTGAAACACCACCTGTATAATTATGCAGGTTAGTGCAGGTAAAATTGGAGCTGTGCAGGTATTTCTGATGTCTACCTGCACCTAACCTGCACTGGTCCATCTACTGGGTATATGCAGGTTAGTGCAGGTAAAATTGGAGCTGTGCAGGTATTTCTGATGTCTACCTGCACCTAACCTGCACTGGTCCATCTACTGGGTATATGCAGGTTAGTGCAGGTAAAATTGGAGCTGTGCAGGTATTTCTGATGTCTACCTGCACCTGACCTGCACTGATCCATGTACTGGGTTTATATATATATGCATGTAGGTGTGTGCAGATTTTCGTTTGCTGCATTGACTGAGTGGTGCAGGTAAAACTTGTCTGGTGCAGGTAATGTTACCGAGTGCAGGCATGCAGAAAAATGCATTTCAAGCCCTGGCTCACCTTGGATGACTTGGGCCTGTTGTTAGTCTGGTTGTACTGCTGCAGCTGTTTCTCTCTCTCCTTTTTCTTCATGGCCATGAGTTTGTCCCTCTGCTGCCGCAGGTGTTCCTGTCTCCTCTTCAGCTCATCATCACCTGGCCCTGCAGCCTGGGGGAGGGGGGAGGGGGGCGAGGTCATATCCAAGGTCAAACAGAGAACACAGAAGGACTGGGAGTAGGGGTGGGTATGGGCTCAGTTTGATCAGGTTCAAGTCCAGATCCAGACTATAGTTACAGAAGTGCTATATCATATTTTGGACAGCACAACAAATTATGTTTGCCTGATAAGTTATTTCAGTGCACAAGCATTTTTCATGGCCAGATTACAAATGTACTTGTAGAAATGTCTATAAATTAAAAAAAGTACAATACATGTATATTAAATTTTTTTTTTTGGGTGCCAAAGAAAGAATCCGTTCATGACAGGTTTTTGACATTCAGTTTTTTTTTACTCTTTTCTTTGATGTTATTCTGAGTCGGACCAGGTATAGCTGAACCAGTATACCCACCCCTAACTTGGAATGTTCTAGAAGTGGTGAAGACATGAAAATGAAAGGTGCTGTACATGTACACAGAGTGCCAACTGTAACAAACTGGAGCGGGGCTGCTCGTGAGACATTCTAGTCTACAACAAATTACTTTCTAGAAGCACGCCAGCAGAACGTACTGCGCCTGTGTGAAACCACAGTTTGGTCAACATTGCATCAGAATTTTGTCCTTCTATAACTTTCAATAACAATCTTTTGTGGCACATTACATTTGAAAACTACAGACAGAATATTCTAATATATATAGTAAAATTTAATATGAGAATACGACCTCAAACGATACATTCTGCCAAAGTGCTACACACATTTCATTCCAGATTTTGCCTAGGCACAGTACATTCTGCTGATGTGCTCTTTCAAGCTAAAGTCTGCTGTGTAGACAAAAGGTGAAGTGGTGGTTGGGTAGGAATTACCTGAGTGTACTTTACCATGAAAACTGTGGTTTGCAGTGGGTTTAAAATGCCTGGGTTCAGTTTGTAATAAAATTAGCTGTTCTCCCCTAAAACCTTAGCATGGCATCATACTACAGTCTACAAGTCAATGGCAGGTTCTGTCAATAGATGTTAATAAAAGCACACCAAAAGAATTCATAAGCCATTTATGTTTTCTGTGTAGTTAGTAAGGATTTTTGGGACGCTACTCTATGTTGGGTAAAATCTATGTTATTATTGTACAAATGTTACTATTTTGTGTACACCATTGCTAAATGCCCTCTTGGTAATCCTAAGCATCTTAAGTAGCATTTGTCTCTGCTCAGACTTTGCAAACCAAGCACAGTGTCGATACAAACATGTGCTGTACAGCAAAAGAAAGTGCATGAGAGGTTTTATTATTCGCTGAAATTTGTCGAATTGTGTATTGACCATAAACTGTAGCTACGTAGATGCGATCACAAACTCCTTACTTAAATCTGTATCAAGTTAACATTCTACTTGTTCTTTACAAAATTTTCATAAAACTAAAAAAAAATTGTTTTAAGAAATTTCTAGCAAATTTCTCTAAAAAATTCCTAAAAATTTTTTTTAATTTCTTAAAAAAATTTCCTTAAGAAAATAAACCTGAAAACAACTCTTGTCAACACAGGTCTTAATATGAATTTTTTGCTTTAAAAATTTCTAGAAAATTTCTCTTAAAAATTTCTTTAAAAATTCTCTAAAGAATTTCTAAAAAGATTTTCTTTCTTTTCTCTTAGAAAATATTACATGCATCCCTATGCACCAACTTTCTCCACACTGTGCTCAGCTCCCATAGTGTGACCAGAGCCCAAGTCTTACTACCCTGGATGCCAAACTCGTTTCGGGCCGCTAGCAATTTCCTTCTTCAGCTAAGAGCCCTTCACCCGCGGGTCTAAATTACCGCTACGGGGAGACCAGCCCGGGGGAAGTTTGGCTGGCCCTTTCAGTTCTAGGGCCGGACAGACTCCCCTCGGGCTCAACTCCTCCGTAGCGGTAATTTAGATAGGTGGGGGAAGGGCTCTCGGCTGCCGGAGGAAAACGGCTAACGGCCCGATACTAGTTTGGCAACCAGGGTAAAGTCTTACTGCAGATCCAGTTGAGTCACTGGTATGCTCTGCCTCTGCCTGCGCTCCCTTTAGCCAAGCGGCAGCTGCCTCTGAACTACTCAGCTCTCTCTGGGGAGGTCCAGGGGGAGGGGCGGAGGGTTTGAGAGACTGTGTGGGGGGTGGGGACTGTGGTTTCTGGGGACGGACGGGTGCTACTCGTGCTGTAGGGAGATCCTAGTTGTAAACAGAAAGACGAGCTCTGTGACACAAACAGTAAGACCTGAGGAAAAAATGGTGTGTTTCCGTTGACAGTCCCCCAAAAGATAGGGTCTGTAGGTAGATATTCCCTTTTTTCCCCTTTTTAGAAAAATTTGGTTGAAGTACCGGTAGCCATGTGTAGGATGCTCTAGTTAGGGCTTTGCCTTAAGTGTTGTATTGAGATTAAAAAAAAAAAATTTAATTTTACATAAAAATTTAATACAGTTTATAACAATGTAAAGTGAAATGCATCCAGACCAGGGCTGCTTGTAAGGAAGAGAAAAAATATATTACCTGATCTACTCAATAAAAATTTAAAAAAAATAGCTATGAAAATGAGTAAAATGAGTAAGAATGGGTTTGAAATCTAGATACATGTATCAGGATGAAAATTAAATGGAAAAAGGCTATGGTCTGGTTGGTTGCAAGGGTCATTCAGGATCATACCGGAAACACAACATTTTTTCCTAGGCCTAAAGAGTTGTTGTGCAGTAGTAGATAGATGACACATATAGAATCACATATAATCCAAACCAGTTTACATGTATGCTAAGCCTTTCCAGGCTTGCACACTGACAAGGCAGTACACAGCACTTGTACAGACAATGTGATATGATTCAGTTGAAACAATACTCCCAAGCCAGCAACATTATGACTCTTTTGACAAACATCACAAGATTCAGATGCTACCTTATAATACCACCCATATACTCGAGGACTTACGGATAATGAGGACTGTTTTGCAGGAGTGCTGACTTTGGCCGCTTCTTTTTTGGGTGCGGAGGCTGGTGCTACAACTGCAGCAGGCTTTCCCTGAGGTGCAGCTTTCTCTTCTTCACCATCGACTTTGGGCATACATTCCAGAGACAACTTCATAGCCTGGGGAAGAAAAAGCACACAATTTAACATTTCTCCTCATCACTACGTATAGATGTTCAAGGTTATAGACATCCAAGCAATGTTCACACTGTCAGGAAAACTTGGATGCTATCTGAAACGTCTGACCGTTTCGAAAATCATATCCAGTAGCCCGAGTAACTGCTTTTTGGCGTATCTTATTACCTGGATGTCTAACCCTCACCAACGTGTCAGGAAAACTGTTACTCAATCAGCTGGATAGATTTTGAAAATTGTCAGACATTTAAAGTAGCATTCACTACTTTTCGCCACTGATGACCTGTGTGCAGTATGTAGGGAATTCAGGGCAGTCTGAAAGGATGGATAATTAAATAGGACAGTCTTACAGCTGCCATGGTATTCTTTTACCTTTTTGGAGGGTCATGAGAACATAATAGTAAGTACATGTACTTGAAGACATAAATCATAAAATTCATAACTTTTCAGCTTCCCCTATCATCCATAATTATCATCTCATTGGATGCTGGAATTACCATTCAGACAACTTCTTTTATGAATGTTTTAAATATGAGGTGACCAGCCCCTCAAATTGTGTCCTGCAACTTGCTACATAATGTAACCCAACACCACAAGGTGTCTGCTACAGCACCAGTTACCATGGTGACAGCTGCCTGGTCCAGGTCATTGACCTTTATTGTTTCAAGAAGAAGGAAAAACAGCAAAAACAATATGTTTTCAATTTGCAAAGGTAAACATAAAAATGGAAAGCTCAGATTTTCTGAAGTACAATGTATGTTTTGTACCTACTTGTTCTAACATTTCCCTCTCCTTTTTGAGAAGTTCCTCCATGCGAGCCAGCTCATCTTTAGACTCCTGCATGACTCTCTCTATGTCTGAAGTAGGCTTGGATTTCTTGCCCTTCTGTTGGGCCTCATACTCTTCCTTGGATTTCCTGAGGAAAAAGGCAGAAGTAAAGAAACTGTTCAAACTAAATATCATGGTTTTCTGCATGTCCACAGGTACACTTAAGATATCATTAGAAATTACCACTCAGCAAGAGACTTAAAGTTGTCCACAAAAGTAACACATTGTGAATGCTTTGTTCCTAATTTTATCAGAGACCAATAAGCATGAGGTTCATGATTCAAACTGTAGGTGTGATACATTGTGGAAAATAATTCAAAGTTGATTTAAAAAACAAACACATTTTGGAGATGATATCAAGAATGATGTAGACAAGAACTGTTTACAAGTTAGGCGCCTTCACTTTTAACCTTGTGAACGTGAAGCACAGACTGTGAACCGGCTTATCGACGTCTTTTTCTTCTGACCTACTATATTTGCTTTTTGATACGCAAAGAAACAAGTGTTACCAACCTGAGCACCTCTTGCAGTATTGCCTCTTCATCATCTTCCTCAGGACCCCCCGCGGCTTCTCTAACCTTGGGGTGTTCGTCTGGAGCCAGCCCGTTCTGGCTTTTCAACATGTGTAGAGCCTGAAGCTCCAGCTCAACCTGAGAACAGGGCACAAACATTTTCAGTGCATCAGCTCCAAACAACATTCACAACCCTTGACTGGTCAGATATACAAACTAGAAGGTAACATCTGCAAAGCAAAATTTATTATCTTCACCTTCACATGGTCTAGCCAAAAAAAGAAACTACTGCTCTGCTTATTCTTACTCAAACACATTCATATCACATGTATATGGTGACACAAGTCCAACTCTGTCCTGCAACTTGCTACATAATGTAACCCGACACCATGGGGTGTCTGCCACAGCATCAGTTACCATGGTGACAGACGTCTGGCTCAGGTCATTGACCTTATGTGTTTGGAGAAGAAGAAGAAGTAACTGAGCAAAAAACCTGTGAGTTTTCCTTCTTTGACACAATCATTAAGAATGATGCATCAATCATATCTTTCCCAGTTGGGCTAAATTACACGTAAGAACTAATAATAAAATTATATGATATGATAGCAGGAAAAAAAACATATGATGGGATAGACTCACCCTTGTCTGGACCATCATAGCTTTGAAGGTCAGAAAGTTGTCAGCTGCCCAAAGCTGTTGAAACAGACCCTGGGGGAACACCAGACATGTTAGCTATTAATAGCAAGTTGTAAAATTAATTTTTGCAATGGTTTTATTTTGCAATAGATGGAAAAAAGAGATTTCGAAACATTTCAGTCACTGCATATCAGTAGACTAGTAATACTGAATGTACATACTCGCAGTGTCTTGAAAAGCTAAAACAAACATACTTGAAATTTTAATCATCTTTAATCATGAAATTTATCATCGTTACAAAGTACAAATGTATAAAGATTAAAAATTAATCATTTAATGTCACACCACTCAGGTGAGCTAAGACGTTTTTCCTTACTTGATCTTCAAGAAGTTAAAATCCGATTCCAGAAACGTTAAGATGAAAGGCTCTAGAGCAATGGAAGGAAATGCTCAATGCCACAATGGAGCCCTTAATAGCACAAAGTACCCCACTTGGTGCACAAAGAGAATGTAGCAGGCTTTGGTTCCCATGCACAGTAATCCACTGAGTAAAGACACTCTTTTGGCAAACTCTGGTTTTCTTCCCAGACCACAGACCACTAGTAAGCCTGCCCTTTGCAGCTGGTATTTCCACTGCAAACTGAAGTCAACATCTGGGCCAAAGCAAGTCAATATTATGGATGACATACCCCCGGTAAGATTAATGTGAATGGATGATTTTGCTGATTTTGAAAAGAAAGTTCTGCCCCTCTGACGATGCCTTGAGTGTTTATAAATTAAAGCGACGACACTACAACAGTGTAAGTTGGCCTTGAATATTTGAGGTTATAGAAGTAACACTAGTTAACCATATATAAAAAACTTAATACCACAACGAGTATATTGTACGGATACCCCACAGACACCAAATTAATCTACTGGCCGGGGGGTAATGCGAGAGCATAACAAAACTACATGACTTGATTGTACATACAATTGCATGGGGTAAAAACAAGAGGCTTATTATGATGAATTTTTTTAATAGAGGCCATAAACGTTTATGGTCTCTATTATTCAATGTTGAACGTTTATGGCCTCTACTTAGAACATTTAAACCTCTTGTTTTTTTCTCCATCTAGTTATTTTTTTTACGCTCTCACATTAGATTTGGAGTCTGGAGGGATCCATAGAATTTAAATGTTGGTATCTTTTCTTTATTCCTGCAATCGACAATATAAGTTCAGAGAGTGACTCTAGTACATGTATCACTATAGTAACCTACATGCTATCACTACATGTCAAATTAATTCAACACTTACTAAATTCTATAACTGCACTCAAGGCTAAGTCACACATACCAAAAATTATGAAAATAGGTTGTTCCTCTCTGGACTTATCTGCTTCAAAAGATTTCGCCAGAAACTCCCCTGCAGTTCCAGAACAAGCTGCTAGGGGGACAAAACCCTTTCATGGTATTTTCTTCTTAATAATATGTGGACCATCGCTTGAGGGAAACTACTTTTTTTTTCGCAAAAATCACTTTGTATGTGGATGTCATCCATGAAAATGACTTGCTATGGCCTAAGCGCCAATACTAACCAATGGATAAGTGCCGGCCTGTGCAGACAGGAGTTCTTTCTTGCAGCCTTCTGTAAACTGGTCCTCTGTGATACCCAGATCTTCCATGAAACTTCCCAGTAAGGCTTCCACCTGTGTCAGACAACGAAGTTCAACAGTCAGTCAACATGTCTCTCTTGGATTGTTTACAAAACATTAGCATTACTATATAGGGCTCAAAAACCACCATGTATTTGCAGGTTAGTGGAGGTAAAATTAGAGCTCTGCAGATATTTGAAGACTCAGCAATACTGGTATGAATATTATCAGGCTTTCTAAAACGTTAATGTAATGAATACTATTAAATGCATTTACTTTGAAATTCACATGCTTTTATTTTGTGATATGAGGGAAAAGGTGGGTTTTTGGGCAGTGTTTGACATTCCCAGTTGAAACAATTTTGTAGTACAATAGAAATACAAGACACATGTTTGCAGTGTGACGATTTCGCGTTAAGAGGACACCACAAAACTGTGAAAATAAAACCACCTCAAACATTTCATGTTTTGCAGTTTTCAAACTTGTAAGTTACTTAAAATTTTGTTTTCAGTTTTTGGTAAATATTACCTACCATGCCCTTGTACTGGTTGTGAGCCTCCGTGTATTCCAACTTGTTTTCCTCATCATTGTCAAAAACTGCATAAGAAAAGGATTGTCAGTCACATCTTCACACATCCTAAAAAGAATCTCTGGAACTTAAAAGCACCGATGTCTCTCAATGATGACAGACATTGATTTGGATTGAAACAAGCTGATTTGATAGCTTATAATTTAGATACTTCTATCACCTTTAAAAGTAGTTAAGAACATTAACTGAAAGGGGTAGTAAGTGAAATTAATTCTAATTTAAACTTTCAAAAGAGAAATATGGCCATGGGCTACAAATTATGATTGAATGTCTAGTACTTAAGTCTCACTAAATTATAAGAAGAAGTTCTGTGGGTTTGCTCAGAAAGATGCATATACATGTGCATGTAGTTTGTATCGAAACAATACCTTTAAAGTTCTATAAAGTATAATAGAAAAACATCTGCCAGTATAAAGTGAATATATCAGGTGAACATAATGAATAGAACCACCTGTCCCAGTCCCAGTGTCATGTCTGGAAAGACAATTATCTGTCATTGCTACGGTCATGTTATAAATTTTTGATGCGGTTATTATCGGTTAAAATTGCCCAGTTGTACATAGGACATCTGTGTAATACAGGATCAAGAAAACTGACTCCCAGTCTAACCACAACAATGGTGGTAGGTGGACTAAAGGTTCTGGGTTCCAATCCCTAGCAGACCACATTGTTGCTCCTATTTCCTGAAGTTCGCGGTAAAGAAGTGACCCCGAAAAACGTGAATATAAAAGTAACCGTGAAAAAAAACAGTACAGTATATGGCATTTAATTATTGCCTGTGAGCATGTTGCAGTAACTTGTACCATAACATAAGGGGTGTTTCTGCTTCGATGAGCACAAATATATCTATTAAAAGTAAGTAAATTGGATAATTAAGCAAAACCACAACAAATTATTTTCTTTATTCTATCCTACAATCCTGAAATGATTTTTGAGGTAATATTATAATATCAAATGCAACATTTTAATAAACTTTATGACTGTATTCCCAAAACTTTCTTGTGAAATTTTAAAGTGAAAACTAGAAATTCACAAGGTATATTTTAACCTTGGAAACACTCAACAGCTTAAAGGGAACTGTTTATAGGTGTGCTTACTAGTAATAGGAGGAAATAGGCATTACATCATCTCAGCAGGTTTCCATGAAGATATAGAAAACATAAACAGGTGAGATCACCTTTCCTGAAGGCACGTGAACTCACCCAATCTGACTCATGTGTCTGTGTCACGACTACTAACTTGTTACATGTCAGGATGAGTAGACAGAACAGACAACCATACCCCTCCCCAAAACACCTGTTCTGACTATCATAACCTTAACTGGTCAAAAACACCACACGGGCTTTTTGAGACAATTTAAGACGCCTGTAGTTGACAGTATGAGAATCTCACCTAAACAGTTCTCTTCTATGAAATTCATAACGGGAACCGTCCAGGTGGGACTGCGCAGGAACTGAACAACGCTGTCCAAGACCCAGTTCTCCGATGTCGCCATGATGCTTTTTTGACAAATACAAACGCCAATTTCCGGACACAGGGCAGCTGAGTGTTTCCTTGTGCAGTAGCGCCGCCTAGCGGATACAAACGCCATCAAACATTTTGGCTACTGTTTGCACTTTTGCGCCAATACATTAAAGTGATATAAATTGTGAACCCATATATTTAGATAGGATGTATGGTAACCTTTGGAACGCCCCGGAATGTCTGATTATATGGATTTTAAAGCGCAGAACTACTTTTCTACTGTACAATATCCTGGACGTGCCTGGTAACCGAACAAACAGTGCTGCGGCCTGTGGATATCCCTCCGCTAATGACGCGCTGTGATTGGTCAGGTAATTTTAGCCTGGCACACCGTTCAGATTGTGAACTGGGCTTTGAATTTTTGGGTTGGAGGTGAACCGCTGCGAGCCTTCCTTTCCAACTTTCTTTTTATCAGTTTCTAGTCGGCTGGGGGACGTCCAGGAGAGGTAAACCGTAGGTAGGAGTGTCTGTCGTCGAGAGTGGATCGCGTTTTCCCCAGGATTGCTTGTTTACCGGAGTTACGGGCGGATTCGTGCGGTACCGGAGACGAGTAGAGAGTCCGATGTACGGGCAGACCGGAACACCTTAGTCGGACGGGAGTCGTGTGTGTGTGTACATAGTGCCAACAACAACTGCACAACTGCCGAAAACAAGTGTCCATCCTTCCGTTTTGCAACGTTCTGTGTCGTGCAGGATCTCAGGAGGACTACCAGCGTGTTTTGTCGTGTAAAATGAGCTGAGAGCGCCCTCCCTGCCGCCCTGCATAACGTGGCGAAAGGAGCCAGAGTTTAGTCCGATTTTTGTCGGGACAGGGGACACAACATGGCCGAGGAGGATGCAGACATCTCTCCCATGGAGGCCTTTATGGACAGTCCCTTGGTGGTCTGGGTAAGTCCTGGCTCTCTGGTATGTTGATTAAGGCTAGAGACAGGGCAATTGCTTAATAATAGGTCGTTGAAATGCTTTCTTCTGATCATAAAACTAGCAACTAAATGTTGCGAGCTGTGTAGTTGTAACAAATCCTTGGAAACAGTTTAAAACCCTCGCAAAATTAGAATCATAAACCCTAGCTGTAAAACTCATGTTTATTCAAACCCTGGCTTCAGTAAAATAGTTTGTACACTGTGATAATGCATGTTGTTCCACAGCAGACCTCACACATACATGTGAGTGTTGTTGTTGTCATACAGCTGATTCCACAAAACTGTGTTCCCTGTCCTTGTTATACAGGCCAAGACCTTCAGCCCTGGTTCTAAGGTGGAGTTTACAAACTTGGTGGAAGGAACATTCCTCAACGAAATGATGCTCCAAATGTACGTATTTTGTCTCTGTCTTTTCCTGTCTCTGTCATTGTATATTTTTAGATACACCTATATGCTTGTACTGGCTTCCGACGGTTAAATTCTAACCCCTTTGTTACACGATCTGTAATTCAATGACATCATCTGGGAAAATTCTAAAGCGTTTATTTAGGCGTAAACGTGGCTGCAAAGTTAAAACCCATTGTTAAGAGCGCAGCCTAAGATAAAATTGCAGTCACTTAGTTCGAAGACATGACACAGAAAGATGTACACGTCTTTCCCGAGGTGGGTAACGGAAACTCAGGTCTGGCCCTTAAGGCTTGAGGTCATCACTATTGTCATCAGCACAGGTGGAAAAACTTACAGCGTATAGGAAACGTGTTTTAAATCCTTTGTGTCACACCAGCAAACAGCTGACAGGAAGTTTCGAAATTCTCCACAAAGCGACCCCTTTTCTTTCCAATACTAGGGAAGTTTAATTTGTTCCAGAAAGAGTCCACAGTGCAGCTTTACAAAAAAAAAAGACAAGAAAGGGAGACTGACGAGAAGTATGTAGTGCGACAAAGGCGTGCGTAATTTGAGACGAGGTATTGTGACACGTGTGACCTGTAAACACCTTGGCACACCTGTGCTCATGACATTCCCTCCCATAAAGTATATAAAGTCTGCCGCCCGCATATAATACATGGCCACGGTCAGACACATTTTTGCCTGGCTACATCATTCTGTGCATTATTCATAAAAGCTGCAGAATTTACACCAACTGTCTAGAAAACTGACATCCAGGTTAGGGATACAACCGGCTAGAGGTTGGATTTTTCACTATATTAGATTGATCTAATTAAGCACTCGTAACGTGCGGAAAATTGTTCAGACGCATTGTCAGTGCGTTATGCCTGTCAGACCAATGTGTTAATGTGGTAAAACAACTTTGACAGCGTTTCGGACGGGCGCTATTTACATTTGCCATTGAAGCCGTACTTGACAATTTTCACTCCTAGTTGCGAAGTAGTCGTATTTTTTAACAGCTGTTTGGTGTCTGTTGTAGGGTTTCTTGTTTCAGTAGCCCTTTTGTTTTGCAAAGACAAATAATGAGAGATTCTCTTTAAAATTGTCAAATTTTGGAGCTGTTTGTTTTTGTTGTCTGTTCCTGATGAGGTGTTTTTCACATGGTGGTATTTGATAATACCACGTGGTGTCTTGTTATTATCTGAAATTGTCTGTAGGGCAACAATCTATGTAGACTAACTGTAGACAGTCAGCAAAACCATATTTACTGTTCATGTTTGTAATGCACATTTACACCAACTAGATGTGGGCCCACTTCATTTGAACCTGGGAATTAAATGCAAATTGCAATTTCGTAAATCATAATTCTCTGCCACCAACAGAGAAGCCATAACAGGAATGCTAAATGAGGTTTTGGCACTCCCATGGGATGGCAACACAGACTACCATTTGTGAGATGCATGTGGGGAAAACCCTGTCTGCTTTAGCCTCCATAGCATGCCAAAAACTGGGGGTTTGGGGGTCTTCATGGTCTTTGGGAGCTTTTATGTGCTATTTTCTGATTGCATATAGACAACATAGCCGGCCTGGTTGAATTACCCCTGTTGGGCTAATCAGAAAACAGCCAAAGACCACCAAACCCCCAGTTCTATAAGCCTGCTATGGAGGCTAGTCTGCTTGCTTGTCCAGCCTAAACCTTGGCATGCCGAGCATGCACACAGACATTCTGACCATGGCTTCTTACAAGTTTGCCATACCCTCGCAGGGTAGTAGGACACACTCCATAAAAACAGCGTCAACCTTTTTCCTTTAGGTCTAAAAAAGTAAACGCCAATAACGCAGCGACGTTTATGTCAGAGACCACTGCCTAAGACCCTGTTCATACCAGACTTATATTTAGCGGTTTCAACCGGTTTTTCAAAAACCGGTTTTTATTTAACCTGATGTGAACGCAAATTAACCGGTTTTTTAGGGGTTTAAATCCGATTTTGAAAAACCACCTCGGGAGGTGGTTTTTGAGGGGTTTTTGAGAGGTTTTTCCACCGAAAAACCTGGTCTGAACGCTAAGGGTTTATTGAACCGGTTTTTGCGTCATAATTCCGGGGTCACGGGGTCAGCATCCTGACCGTGTGCGACCTCCAAGCTTTTTTGATCGCGTTGTTTTGACCAACTTGAGTTCGTTTCCACTGTTTTTCCATGGTTTCTATTCATTTTGCGATGGAATCAGCATATGCAACCTGGTCGGCGGACGAGACGCTCCTGATACTTAGGTATGGAGAGCAGGAGTCGCCGAATTCGAAAAAAAGCTGGGGGGGGGGGGCGTCGAGGGCTCTACCGAAACAAAAATGTTGGAGGAGGCTGATTTCTTGAAGATAAAGGATCAGTGCCGTAGTAAGGTAAAAAAAAAACTGAAGACGGCATACAAGCAAGAAGGCCAGGGACAACAATCGGAAGAGCGGGAGGAACGGTTATTCAAACTGCAGTCATGGCCGATTAATTGGATATTCACTGGACAGGATTTTTTCAAAACCGGTTATCAAAAGTCTGGTATGAACGCTAAGGGTTTTAGCCGGGTTTTTGAAAAACCGGTTGAAACCGCTAAATGTAAGTCTGGTATGAACAGGGTCTAAGGGTTAGGACGTGTCTTTGGGGATTGCTTGATGAATTCGTTAGGAAGAGGATATGATAATTGAGACATGCATAAAACACTACAAATATTCATACAACTGCTAATGTTAGTATTGGTAGTCAGATGGGTTGGTGTTACTAGCATCCGCTAAAAGTAAAAAGCATTTTGGCTCATTTGATGCTACTGGTAATATGGGCATACTACTACTAGTACTACTACTACTAGGTCTTCCATTTTGAAATTCAAGATATGTTGCTGTTCAAATTCTGCTAAACTTATGTTTGCTTACAGTACATCATGATCAGACTTATAACAGAAATTTTTAGTGATAATTGTTTATGTTGCACAGAAAATGTTGTGACTTACTAGTACAAATGAAAGTATATTGTAACTGCCAAAATTTGAAGCGAAAGTATCTAGTTTTATTTGTTTATGCTGGCCAATCGGAATCCTGAAAATGTGTTTTCACACAGAAGCGACTTTGCTTTCCTAAGTTTCTACACATGGAATTGTGTATTTTACACTGAAAGCGAAAAACGATATACAAATTGTCACAAACTTACTACAAATTAAAACACGCTGTTATACACATGCACTTGGAACACATTTGTATACAGGTAAATTATCTAATCTACATACACCCCTCTGATACTATACTACATGCCAGTACATGCCCGTAGCCAGGATTTTGAATGGGGGGGGTTCTTCCCACTGCCTGAGGGGACCTCGAGTGCCGTAGGCGCGAGGCGAGCACCAAAGGCGCGAGGTTCCTAGGGGGGTCCGGGAAGATTTTGAAAAAATGAACCTTCTAAAATGGCATTTTGTGCATTTTTGAGAGGATTTCCAAGAAAAAATCAGAGATAAATTTTTATTCAATGACAAACGGAGCAGTTTTTCTACAATTCCAGTCCATCTTTTCAAGAAAAATCTTGAACCTTTACATAAAAAGTGGACCAAAAAGTGGACCTTTACATAAAAAGTGGACCAAAAAGTGGACCTTAACACAAAAAGTGGACCAAAAAGTGGACCTTTGAGCCTTGTGGGGGGTTCTTCCGAACCCCCCGAACCC